AAGTCTTCTTTTGGGATCAGAGCTAGGGTATTCCTGCTGCCTTAAAACAACCAAATGCTTTGCCCTTGGGTTTCCAGGAAGAGAATGAGGCTTCTGCAACTGAGGTTATCAACTGGGGGCCCTCTGCCCTGGGACTGCCTGCCTCTGTGTGGGGACTGTTGCTGGAGTCGCCCCTGCTCAGTGCTGCTTGTCTTGGCTCCATGCTCACAGGGCTGACGATGGCTCTGCCTTGCTGCTCTCAAGGACCTAACAGAAAGATCCTTTAGTGAACCTGGCAGAACAGTCGTCTTGTCCCCAGCCAGCAGAGCCTTCAGGGGAAGGAGCCAAGACCCACTCACCTGTGACTTAGTATGCCCCGGAGGGAAGTGTTTTCCAAACTCCTACCAGCAAGGTGATTTGTTGCCTGTCCCTTCTCGGTGTTTTTGAATCTGAGCATTTGCTGTTCTCATGATTTACATTAGCATCTAAACCTTGCATAATCTCACTAATCCCCTGGCTCCCAGATAACCACTGGCAGTGAGTTCCATGGGTTAACCGATGGTTGTGTTCATTCGGTAGAGCAGATTTAAGTCTTTTTCCATTCTCATTACAAACAACTTCCTTAACCTTCTTGCCTGGAATGGAAAAGGGGCAGCGTCTCCCAAGTAATGGGCTCTGGTATTTTATGTGCTTCCAAGATTATTCTTGTGGCTGAGAGGCTCCCTTGCGCACTGTTTTGTGTTGGGCTTGGAGCCCTTGAGAAAGCAAGATGATGTCAATGTGAGGCATGTTGGAATATTTTATTCTGCCAGAAAGAAAACAAAAATAAACACTGAGACAAATGGTATAAAAATACTGTAGGGGTTGTGTTGAGTTGCCTCCTGCCCTCCTTTCCCCAGTGCAGCCCATGGACAGAGCACTGTGTCACGGGCATATGGTTCCTCCCTGGCCAGAGGACCCCGTAATATCCACGCACAGTGGGGAGAATTAGAGAGGAAACTGGCAGCCTTAACATTTAATTTCCTTCCTCTTTCTGGGTTGGTCAGATCCTTTGCATTATTGTAACTACTTTTTTTTTTATCACGTCTATAAATAGACATGCTCTCATGCATTACGTGAAGCAGAGTTGGGCCAAAAAAGTCATTCATTCTTTATAATCAATACATGAAAATGTAGTGGGTATTGGCTCAGATTAGACCTTGTATTGTAGCTGGGGGAAAAAAAATGTTGACTAATAAAAATTAAGGACTTTTTTTTTCTTTTTATGAAATGCTAATGATGAAGACATGTTTGATATACTGTGAAATACATTTCTCTAATGTGAAGTTTCTGCTTTTTGTTGGGAAAGATATTCAGTCCCTGGAGGATTTTAGAATTTGTAAATATAAAATTATCTGCTTCAGTGTTTTTTTAAAAAAACGTTGGCAGAAAGCCAGATTACTTACATTACTGTAATAGATTTGCTGACCTCTGACATCTGCTGCAGAGAAGTACATTGAATTTTTCATAATATCAGATGATGCAGATCTGAAAACTCAGTACACTCTGCACCATTATTTAATTCAGGACTTAGTAAAGCAAAATCTTTTTTTGAGTAGCAGTTTATACGTGATTAAACTTAATATTGCCGATTGTAATAAATCAGGATTAGTATAGTACTGATTTGTTAATCTAACTTGTATTGATTTTAAGTTGTCTTTATTTAAAAAAAAAAAAAAAAAAGACTTGCTTTTCATAGTGACTGAATTTAATAAGAAGCTCTGTGATAGCAAAGACTCCCCTACTGTTTCTGCTCTTGGCTGGAAAATGTTATTCTTGTATTATTCCAGGAAAAAAAAAACAACAACAACAAAAAAAAAACCCTCATGCTGCTAAAAATCTGCTGCCTGTGGAAAGATTTTTTAATACACTAGTGCTTACATATTCTATTTATGTTAATTGACTTATAAATAATACATTTTATTAATCTTAATATTGGAGTCTTGATCATGATAAAGACCCTTTTATTTGGTCTCCTCGCAGGCTTTACAAGTAAATATTCTTTCGACCACAGAACGGCCCCCCTTTCCTCCTCCATGAGTACTTTGATACTCCCCCCCACCGCCGAAGTCAGCCCCGTTCAAAGCGCTGACAGTGCGGGTGTTGTTTCTGAGCGGAGCACGTTTGAGGTGTCGAGGCGCATTTTTGTGAGCCCCGTCTTTCCTTTGCTTGTGCAAAGATTGATTAAATCTTACCTGCACTGCAAATATTTGACAAAAATCCTGCGTTCGTTTCAGACATGTCACATTCTGCTAAACTATTTGGATAATAGCAGATCGCATTCTTCCTGCGTTGGGCAATATTGACCTTAACTTGGCTGTGCAGCGAGCGGTAATGGCATGTGAGCCGGAGCTCTAACCGTTCTGAGAGCTGCCTTAGCTTTATTACTCCTGTGCTATAAAAGCTTCTAATAATCAAATGATAAGATCATATCCTGTGGGTAATTGTGTTGTACCATGACAGGATAACTGAAAAAACACTCAGTGAAAATTGTAACCAGCGGAAGTCTCGACACGCAGAGCGTTCTCGTGCGGTTGGGCTCCATGTGCCGCCTTGCGTGGGATCCCCCATGCCCCCCGCACCCACAGCGCTCCGTGCGCCAGGCGGTGTGCTGGGAGCGAGGCGGAGAGCTCCTCCAACAAGCCATCCTTGTGTTTTGGTTCCGTTTTACCTTAGTCATGCCTGCTTCCAGATACAAGAAACATTTAATTCCAGATTTCCTGCTGCTGGCTCCAGGCCTTTGACCGGCGATGTGAGATGTATTTTTACTGCTGTCGTACTGCCAACTGCTGAGCTCAGTGAAAAATAACTAAAATGAAAATGTTGTACTCCCACGTGAACTCAGGATAAGAAAAGGAAATTTTAAGGCACAGTTGCTAATTAGCACCAAAGCTAATGAGTTCTGGTGAGGTGCACCACAAGGAGGAGGAGCTCTGGGAGGCCGGCTGGGAGGCGTGCAAGTGCTCGCCATAGCTGCAGCCCAGGCCCAGCTGTGCCTGGAGCCCCCGCGTGCCATCTTTGCAGCAAGGCCCACCGTTGGGCCACAGCCACGTGCCCTCCTTGCAGCAAGGCACAGCAGTGGGCCATGGCGCCTGCTTGCACAGCACTTGGACGCTCTGAGGGCCTGTTGAGGGGAGGTGGGGATTTGTAACGGGCAACGCGTTCCTATGGAAACAAAACAAAGCCAAACAGTCGCCTTGCAGCGCTAACAAGTATTGTCATAAAACGTGTTTTTATTAAAAGCGAGTTTAAATATTTAACACATGGCAGAACGACATCAGTGTTGCCCTGTGTGAAGCCCAGCCTCGCCTCGAGTGAAGTCCGAAGCTCTGTGCAGCACAGGGAGGTATCCGGTGCTCGCACGAATATTTGTGCTTTGTGAGTGAAATTCAGCAGCCTCAAGTATGAACAAGATTATTTTTTTCTGATTCTGCTTAGTTATGCTTTTTATTATATAAACATTAACTGTAATATTACAGTGGGAAACAGGTATTTGGCAACTACATATTATTTTGCTAAGTTTGCATAGAGGGAGCAGTTTCCAGTTTTAGCAGCTGTAACATGTTTAAACTCAGTTTGTAATGGGATCTGAAGATGAATATTCCCTGTGGGCTCTGCTTAGCTTCATTACTGGAGCCCTGCCAAATTCAGGGCTAGAAAGTATTATTCACGCCTCTTTGCACATACCATGTCAGAGCATGCTCAGTTAATGAATTTTGTTTCTAATATAGCATAAATTAGGTTTATATTTTAACATAATTTATGTTGTATTTTATTAAAATGTAAAATATTATGATCACAAGCAATCTAATTTCTGCTCTCTTAAGCCCAAACTGTGTTTGAACATCTAAGTATGTAAATCAAAATTGCATGCTTAGGAGCTGATTCTAGGATAACAAACGAATATCTGAACCAAAGAGGTTTCTGCCTTGGAGTCCTAGATTAAAGATAATTAAGGATTCCTGGTATTTGAACAGATTTATGTTGTTTATAAGTAAAGTACATTTTCCTCGCAGAGTCAACTTGTCTTAAAAAAAAAAACAAATTATGTTTGCTGTATTAAAGTTCATATTTTTAAAGTCTCAGTCTTGTATTAATCCCACAGTGAGTCATTAATCATACCAAATGCATTATAAAAACTTTAATCACTGAAGTTGAAACTGAGATTGTAATGCAATCCATCCCTTTTAATTATATCATTTATTTTTCCTTTCAGATGAAGAATAGCAAAGGGAAAACAGATAGATTAAAACTCAGTGTTTGATGCTTTTGGGGGAGGATATTTTCTGTTTGTGTTTCTTCCTTTTTTTTAAAGTGATTTTGTATGCTTCGTGGAGGAAGGTTTCACTGCTCAAAATTCTTTCACTTTTAACTCTTTAAAAGAAAAGACTCATTTGGGAAGGCAGAGACCGTGGTGACTGTCACCCTTTGAGGGTGTGTTTGGAAGGGTCAGGTTGGGCTGGCACTGCACCGCGCTGTGTGCTGTGCCTGCTGTTGCAGGTTTCCATACTCGGATGTCTTCCACCCAGTCTCTGGCATTTATCCTTGTACTCGGGAAACCTCCAGCCTGGAAATTGTATAGCTGTTATCAGGTTGGCTGTGGCTTTGGAGGTGTTTCCTTGGGGTTTGCTGCATGCTTTTAAGGATACGGAGAAAAAGTAGAAGTAAATAGTTGTATTTTTTTTAATCATTCTAAAACATAGTGGCTCTTATCCTCATCTGTACAAATTGGTATGGCCACGTGAACCACTACAGCCTTACTGACAACTGATATGTGCCAACTCCACTCAATTTATGCCACACGGTAATCTTGCCAAATAAATTGATTTATCATACTTGGATTTGTAGATACAGAGTTTACAGTGATGCTTTTATGCCACAGAAGAAAATAGATTTATTAAGTAAACTGCTCACAGTAGATACATTTTATTCTTTGCTAGAAAAGCAAAACCTGATCAATTATTTGTTCCTTAATCCCCTAGATTAATCCTGCCATATGAAAGATTTATTAAAGGAGAGGAAGATAAGCCACTGCCTCCAGTGAAACCTCGAAAACAGGATAACAGTTCCCAGGAGGGCGATGCGAAAACAAAAGTGTCTGGAACAAAACGCATTAAAAATGAAAACCAAAAGAGCAAGAAGGAGAAAGATAATGCACAGAAACCCCAAGATGCATCTGAGGTTGGTTGCTTCCCTGCTTTTCAACTTTTCAATTAAAAATGTGCAGTTTTAATCAATCAAAATTCAGTGATAAAATACATAATTTAAACTGGAGAATCCCAAACAGTTGGCCTTCAAGTTTGCTCAGCAGTAGAAATTCAGTTGGTGTGGTACTGTCTGTGTGGTACTGTCTGTTGTGATTTTGCAGGGTTACAAACAGCCACCAGTTAGCTCCATATTGCTTGGGAGTGATGGCAGAAGACCAAACTCTAGATACAACAAGTATCATTTCTGCTCATTGTGTTACACAGTGGTCACCATGAAAAGATCAGCATCTGCCAAAAGGAAACCACACAACTACCACAGTTATTTCCTAATCTTAAGTATAGGGTGCGGGAACCTCTAATACTGCTGATAATGTTGTGGTAACTGGGTATAGCTGGTCTTTATAGTAGTAACCTCTGGATTAGCCCTTCTGCACTTACAGATGTATGCATATATCCATCAGAAAACATACCACTCCTCCGGACTTTTATCATGTTATACTAAATTTCTCTTTAGACTCAAAGGTCAAATTTTGAGCAAACACCTGCCAAGTTTTAACTGAGACTGAAGTCTCTCACATACCACAGATGGTTTTCAGCAGAGATGCTGCTAACCTGCTTCACGTGGGCAGGTCCTGTTTCCACATAGAATCACATTATGTGTGCTCGTGGGACAGCTCCAATTTTGTGTTCACAGCCCATGTAAAGATAGATCAGTGGAATTCATACTTGTCTGCAGATTAAGGGTAACTTTCGTATGTTGCTCAGTGCTATAAAACCAACGGGCATTTTGCTCCAGCGTTTCTTAAGCATGTCTTTTGCCCATCTGAGCCACTCTAACTGTGTCCTCCTTGCACCTTGTGTAAGTGGGACCTTGAAGCTCCTTGCACACAACTAAATACACAAGATGTTGCTTTTTCTGTCTCAGTCTGCCAGATCGCAGCAGCCTTCAAGGCGTTGCAGTGAAAGTAAGTATTTAAAGAATGTTGAAACACATGACATGCCCGGCAGACTACGGCTGCTCCCTTGCCTTCATTGCTGTCTGGCAGGTACATAAGTCCTGTTTCTAAACCAGCTTGAAATCGGTATTGAGTCAACTACCAACAACCCTCCTCCTTGTTGCTTAAAAAAATCACAAAACCAGTAAGCATGGATGCATTTGAGAATTTGCATGTTGTTTCAAGAACAGAATATTCTGATTTTCATGTCCCACTACCATTTTAAGTTGTCCTTACACTGAAAAATGTCATCTCTTGTCCGAACCAGAATTTGTTTTCAATTGCATTGATCAACAGCATCTTTAATGTCAAATGTAAGAGTGCTCTACAGAGAGGGATTTTTATTTTCTCTTGCACTGTAATTTTAAAGCAGAGAACACTGCTGGGGGAAAACTCCTCTGCTTCTGATTGCAAATACCTGAAGTGCATATAACCTCCTTCAGTCAGTGGAACATTGCACCACAAATTGCCCAAAGCAAGAAAATGCAAAGCTAAGGCCTGTGCTCCCTTCCCCTGTCACTCCTTTGTGCCCACTTGTTTACTGTGGGGGTCTTAGATCAGCAAGATACCTTACAAACTGTTGGTACTGCCACAGTTAAGCACAGCATAACAAGCCAGCAACAGAGTATCAGCCTTAACTTTGAATTTCCTTGCTTTTGTTGTTCCCCTATCTCAAACTTCCTGCTGCTTAAACTGCAGTTATTTTTGTATGTGGTTTGCAGGAAGAGTTCTTAGAGCTGCACTTATCGGAAGCATAAGGAGCTGAGCCGAGACAATAAAAATACACAAATGTGGCAGTTTCCCACTGTAAAATGGTACCTTTTAAGGAAGAATGAATCTCTCATCTCTAGGGTGGATGATGGTGTCCTGCTCCTGTTTAATGAGGGCAGGCAATTAAAAACTGCATCCTTCACACAGGTCACTGTATGGATGGTTGCATGAAGCCAGAGAACTGAGGAGGCCCACTTCCCTCCTGGGTGGGTGCTCATCGGTGCTCCTCTGCAGATGGAGTTCTGTGCCCAAGGCATCATCCAGTGCTTCAGGGTGGAGCAGCCTCCAATCTACTGTGGCCTGGTGGAAGGCCTCACATAGAATCATAGAATGGCCTGGGCTGAAAAGGACCTCAAAGATCATCTAGTTTCAACTCCCCTGCTGTGTGCAGGGTCACCAACCACCAGACCAGGCTGCTCAAACCCACATCCAGCCTGGCCTTGAATGCTTCCAGGGATGGGGCATCCACAACCTCCTTGGGCAACCTGTTCCAGTGCTTCAACACCCTCTGAGTGAAAAACTTCCTGCTAATATCTCAACCTAAACCTCCCCTTCTTAGTTTAAAACCATTCCCCCTCTAACCCAGCACAGATTCCGTGGTTGTTGCAGGCCTGCTGCCAGACAGCAGTGGTAGTGTGTTGTTCACAGGGAGCCTTTATCTTTGCATGTGGATGTGTAGGCGTGGCCCCAGCCAAGCCACCATTTACACCATTCCTGCATGTAGCTTCAGAGCAGGCCGTAGCTGTGGGCTAAAGGATAACCAAGCTACAAAAGAGCCGTCTCCTCTATTGCACGTTCAACTCACGCAGCACAAGAAATATGCAGGGAGAGAGTATAACTTTAATTTATTAGGATTGCATTTGTCTTTGTGCTCTTCTCTCTTTTCCTGCCATCGCAATGACATCGTCTCTGTAACAAGATACCAGACAAAATGCTATTAGCCTTAGAATGCACATTTCCCCACAATAGCTGAAACTTCAATCAAAATGTTGCTTAACAGAAACAAAGAGCAGAATGTGCAGTTATTAAATATCATTTCTCTTTTTTTTCATCCCTGCTTTGCTCATCTGTGTGGTATTTTCCTGTAATTTTATAAGCTCAAGAGACTAGGGATAGTACTTTGTAAAGGACCTAATGATGGTATTTGGACTGCAAAAGGCAGCTATTAGTTTAAAAAGAAGTTGTTACGATGACTAATGTACACTGCAACTGATAGACCAGCCAAACACACAGGAATATTTAAAAGCAGCTGTGAAGAATTAAATTTCTGAGATGATAAGATTCGCTAGGACCTTCTCTGGTCCCTCACTCCTGTGATACACTGTAGAGCAGCATTTATATAATAATTTCTTTATGTGTCTTATCTTTACTAAGAAAGAAAGAAAACAATAATAATAAAGGGTTCACACAATGCTGCTGTTTTATGAATGTCTTATACCATGACATGTCAGAAGAGAATGAGAGCAGTTTTGAAAAAGGCTGTCAGTCAGCTGGATCACAGATGGGACGCTCTGATGACCTCTGCGGGTCGCAGTTCAGCCAGCGACATAATGGGATGAATAGTGTGAATTGTGAACACAAACTGTATTAATGGTGAAGCAGAAAGAGCTGCAGTCCCATTGACGATAACATATAAAAGCTATGTTTGTAATAGTGTGCACACGCACTTACGGAATGTTGACAACTTCATTTTAATCCGTTAATAAAAAAATGTGTGTCCTAGTTAAGCTGCGGCAGTGATTTGCTGCCTACAATAGGGATTCCTAGTATGCCATTTCTGTCATTTTCACACTTTAATGCAGAACTGGGTGTGAATGATCTCCTCTGTGATCACTGAATTTTAAGAACAATGCTAGAGAGCCTGCATTTTCAGCTTCACATAAGAAAAAATGTTTGGATGTGCGTACTTCTCATAGGTGAAGTTGGCTAGCGTGAAAAATCTTTATAGCCTTTTTGTTTGTGTTGTGAAATCTGCTCTCCTGTGTTTGCCTAATTAATTTTAAAAGACTAACTTCTGTGTTTAGTGGTGAAGCCACTGGTGCCTCTAGTCAGGCTACAAGCATCTGCTGCTTTGAAATGCCTTATTATGACACTGGCAGCAACAGTGTATTTCTAGGAGGTATGTTTCTTTGTTTGACTCCAATACCTGGTATTCGAGCTCTTGCATTCCAACAAGGTGATTGACAAGTACATCTCTAGCAGTAGCAAGCAGTGTACGTTATATGTGCTTCTGAACAGTCTGCCAAAATGTACAGCATTCTCATAACTGTCTATTGAATCATTTTATTAGGTTTCATCAGAACAAGAGAAAGATCAAGAATCAACAGACCAGAAAAATTTTGCAGAACAGCCTACAGTAGGAGAGACGAAACAACCTAGTCAAGGCCCTCCACCTCTTTTGCCAGAGGCAGCTCGGCCACTGCCTATGGAAAAGACAGACATGACAGAAAACAGCTCAAGCAGCGAGAAAGCCAAGGAAGAAGTTCCTCATTCGTCATCTTTCTCAAGTATATCCATGCCCTCGGATGAAGACACCATGCTGGATGCCACTGTCACAAAACGACTGCACTCCTCAGCAGATACTCTGGAAGATACAAAGCCAGAACGAAGGATACACAAAGCTTTTACTGAGAGCTTAGAAAACGAACCTCCAGAAATGCCCTTCTCAACTTTCCCAGTCCAGCTGCCCACTCAAAGTGATATGGAAGATGATAAATTGCCAGAGATGGCTGATTACATTGCAAACTGCACAGTGAAAGTAGATCAGCTGGGAAACGAAGATATCCACAATGCACTGAAACAAGCACCCAAAGTACTGGTAGTCCAGAACTTTGACATGTTCAAGGAGAAAGAGCTGCCTGGGTCCATGAGCGACGACTCTTCTTTCGGTTACACACCACTGCTCTACTCAAAGGGTAATCCAGGCATTATGTCACCCCTGGCAAAGAAAAAGCTGCTGTCGCAGGTCAGTGGGACAACCTTATCATGTAGCTATCCTTATGGTTCTCCTCCACCTTTGATTAGCAAAAAGAAATTGAGCAGCAGAGATGAACTGTCATCAAGCCTATCACAAGGTCCTCACGTCCCTAATTCTGATCCCATAGCAATTAATAGGCCATCAGTCATACAACACGTGCAGAGTTTTAAATCCAAGGAAGAAAGGAAATCAATTAATGATGTTTTTAAACATGACATGCTAAGTAAAGTGGATCCTCAGCGCTGTGATTTTTCACAACATCACCTCAGTTCTCTTGCTGAGTCGTATGTACCGAAGACAGATATCCAGGACTGTAAAGATAAAATGAATGAGAAAAGGGCACTGCAGCACTCCCGTGTGCCCACTTTCTTGGCAGATTTTTATTCATCACCTCATCTGCACAACCTTTATAGGCACACGGAGCACCACCTTAATAATGAACAGACATCAAAGTACCTCCCCCGGGACATGTTCAGAGAGTCTGAAAATATTTCTACTTTTACTCAACACAAACACCAAGAAAAACTAAATTTAAATTATCACCCATCTTTGCATCAGCAAGAAAAAAAGGCAGCAGTGGAAGCCTCTTCAGATGATCAGCCAACAGATTTGAGTCTTCCGAAGAGCATACACAAACAGACTGCAAAGGCTCCTGGCTCCAGTCTCTCTCATTCATCTATGGCCCAGCAAGAAGGCAAAGGTATCTCCCTGTTCCAGGCTGCGAGCAGCCAGGCGGTGAGCCTAGACTGTAACCCCAAAGCTTGCCGCGTGTCCCCCATGGCCATGACTGCCCCTAAAAAACACAGTGAGTTACTCCACAGGTCTGGGAAGCAGGCACAGAGACTGGAGAACCTGAGGAAGATGGAGGGGATGGTGCATCCTATCATTGGCCGCAGAATGAGCCCTCAAAACATCGGAGCTGCTCGGCCTTTGAAGCGAGGCCTGGAGGAATTGGACAAAGTCATTTCGGAAAAAAAAGTCCGAGCTGTCTCTCCTCTGCACTTACCAAAGGAGACCTCAGTAAAAGAAAAGGTTCCCGATGTGGAGGGGGAAGGCAGCAAGTCTCTGCATGGCCTGCATTCAGGCAGCGTTCTGGAGAGCCACAAATTTCCCCTCTCAGCCCCAATCTTCCCAGGCTTGTATCCAGGAACCCTGTGCACAGGGCTGAATAATCGCCTCCCGCCTGGGTATTCCCATCCTTTACAGTACTTGAAAAATCAGACCGTGCTCTCCCCACTAATGCAACCTTTGGCTCTCCATTCCCTCATGGTGCAGAGACAATTCCTCACATCCCCTGCAAATTCTCAGCAACTGTATAGACACTTAGCTGCAGCAACACCTGTAGGAAGCTCGTACGGTGACCTTTTGCATAACAGCATTTATCCATTAGCTGCTATAAACCCTCAAGCTGCATTCCCACCTTCCCAGCTGTCCTCCGTACATCCCAGCACAAAACTGTAAATCCCCTCACTCACAAAAAAAAGTCTGAGGAGAACAGTTCAGTTAGCGACATTCCTCCCGCTGTGATGATATCTTGCAGATCTGTATTGCTGTAAGCCAGGATGCCGTCATATCCCACGTGGCGGAAAGCTTTGGAGTGTGATCGAGACAGGACTACTTCTTCAATTCTGGCTCCACGCCAGTCCCCTCTCCCCTCACCCCTGCCCTGGCCAAACAACAACAACACACGCTCAAAAATTCTTTGGATTTTGCATATGTGTTTTCTGAAAGTACTTGTGTATGGTAAGAGCAAATGTTCAAAGGGAGCCGTGGAAATGCAGGCCCAGTCCTGAGCTCACTGAAATGAGAGGCGACGTTTGCATTTGCTTTTCATTGAGCCAAGGACCAGAGGTCGAGTGTTGCTGCAAACGAGTCAAGGACTCGAGATGAACTTGGCAAGGAGAGGAGGGCCGAGAACCCACACGATCGGTGGATGTGCTGTTTTGGGTAACTTTTCCTGACTTTTAAAGATTCAATCAATGCAATGTATAGTAAAACGGCAATAGATTTTTCATTTTAACACTATTAGAACAGAAGGGTAAACACTGATTAATTTGACTGTACATATCCACTTCGTAAACTACCAATGTCACATTTGGTCACAATAATTTATATAGTTTTGTTTGTCTGATATATTCTGTACTCTTTATGTTTGTTTCTTGTTTTTTTTTTTGTTTTGTTTTTTCTTTTTTGTTTTCTTTTCTTGATTATTTTTTTAAATTAAACAGTATCATTTTACCTGCAACTTTTTTAAAAGGCTGTGGCTGTCCTAATTTTTTATGTTTGTAATTTTTCCAGCTTCTTCATACTTCTGAGCAGTGTTTTTGTTTCATTTTTGTGGTAATGTTTACTGTTTACAAACTGAAGCAACTGGTTCAGATTCATCTTAATGGATATAAACGTACTATAGGTAATATTATGGTGCAAGGGTGCAAACAAGGTTCCTTTCCCTATGGTCCGACCCTGCAGGTGCTGAGCACTTCCCACTCTCCTCATGCTGTTGTGGTGGCTCGTGCTGCTTTTCCCTCCCACTGAGCTTTGCTTTTCCATATTGTGATCCGTGAATTTGTCAATAAGTCGCACTTAGCTTACCTAGGCTGTGAAACCTTCCTGTGTACCAGAGAACCAATCTGGAAAACTAAACCTCACACAAGATGGCGGATGGCAGAGGAGTCCAGAAAACAGATTTATGATTTGCAAGGATGGCAAGAATATCAGCAATTAGGACAGGAGTCTGTGCTGGTTTGAACTGGGGGTGTACAGGTCCTGTGCCATGGGCAGGGTTTGGTGGGATGGGTAGGGGTCATGCAGCAGGTGCCCTGCCACTGGGCACAGCTGGCACCTGAGCTGGCAAAGAAGCCAAGTGTCTGTTGGGTCCTGGCACCCCCATGGGGACCACGTCCCTCCCTGGGCATCTGCCAGAGAGTGAGAGCCGGGTACCGAGGAACTGGGTTTGGTAATGAAAGAGCTATCCTGTGGCTGCATGTTCACACTGAAGGACGTCACCACCATGCAGCTGAGTGTAGACATTGATGGAGGAGTGTGGCTTAGAGGCTTTTGTGTGAAAATGTGAAAATTGGTTGCGATTCAGACCATCTCAGTTTACTGTTCAGAGACAGCATAATTGATGTGAAAACAAACATGGAAACTACTAAGAAACACTTTGCATGCTAGGCATGTCATTAAAATTTCCCGTGATATGAAGCCAAATACAATATATAATGTATCATAGTTAATATCCAAAGGTGGAAACCAGAATAATATACTCGTCTACTGTTAAAGATCCAGCTTCTTCAATTCAATACTTTATATTCTTGTGGTAAAACTATATTTAATTGATCAATAAACAGACTAGTAGAACTTAGAACATGGATGTGCCACTGCAGAGCATCCTGCTGCTCCACGGATCTTACAGGAACAGAACTGCAGGCTCAGCTGGGCAGAGGCCATAATGTCGAGGACATCTCTAGTAAAGTTGCACTAGGTCTGAATTGTGAGAATCAGGGGTTTGGGGATGGGTGGGAGGAAGGAGGGCGGGGGATGAGGAGAGAATATGAGGATCTACAGCAAACACAAATAGGAGTGTTTTTGGCAAAGCAAGCATTTCTCTTTCTTGTTTTGGTTAAATCTGTGTCCTGAGTTTGTGCATTTGTTTATGCAATGTCCGCTTTCCCTTTGGTTACGTCACTTTGGAGTTTGGTCGTAGCCTTTGTGAAGCAGAGCAAATGCGGAGCAGGGCTGGGGAGGAGAGTGGGGAGGGAGGGCCTTGGTTCCCCTGGGAGGAGACCAGCCCAGACCCCTCCTGGCAGGGAGGCTTGCGTGTGCTGGGTGAGACATTGGGACAAATGAGAAGAAATGGTAGCATAAGGCCCCAGCAGAAGGGGTGCGTTGTTTGTTTAAGAACTCTTAAGATAAATCTTGGAAGTCTTTCAAAAGGCTATTGAATTCTCCATTGGCTGAAAGACTTTTTTTTTAATGTCTTAAATGGGACTTTGTTTGCATTGTTTGAGTTCAAGGGGCCTTATTATTGAATGAAATTGCACAAGCCTCTCTTTGTGCAATCAAACCATTGTTATTGATAGGTTTGTAAAGGAAACTGTGGAATCTAATTGGCAATAGAGTCATAAACCTATTTACTAAGAACCAGTTCCAAGAAATGTTGCAAGCCGAACGCACTATGTCCAGCATTCATTAGGGATGCTAAAGGTTGTGAGATGATGAGGTAATGGCCCAGCAGCCGCAGCTCATGTGTGCCTTCTGGCTGCGGGCTGGGCCTGCCTTCACCAAGCGGATCCACAGTAGCACCTGGCTGTCAGTGCAGCACACTCCCAGCAAGGGAGTAGGTGAGTGAGTGAGGACATTTTGCAAGTTGGGCTGGCTGCACGAGCCATTTCCCTGCTGTGCCAGGGCCTGGGAAGTCGCCTGTTGCAGCTCAGGACAAGCTGGCTTGGCAGCACGTGGTGGCGGCGGGCCGGGAGGGCTGTGCCTCCTGTGCTGCTGTGCTCCCAGGGCTGCCAGGATGCTCCTTCCCACGCTGTCCTCCTGTGCAGTGCTCACCCAGTCGTCACGATTTTAGTGAGAAACAGGAATTCCTGCCGTGGTGCAAGGCCCACAACGTGAGAACTGTTACATGAGCACTTAATAGTGGTGTTTGCTGTAAATGTGGTCGATACTTCACTTGTTCTCTTCCTCTTCCCGCCCTCCTCCCCCGGACCCATAGTTTTAAATATGTTCTAATAATGGCAGCATACTCTACTAGCTGTTTATACTTTTTTAACTTTCTTTTGTTGTAAATATTGTATACTTTTTGTGATTCAAGTTATGTAGCCTATATGCTCTGTAAGGTGATGATTTGTATATATAAAAATGGCCCAGTAATATTATATAGTTTCCCATTTAAAAGGTTATTGAGTAACCTTTGTGTTAGTTTAAACACTACCAGAAATAAAGCTGAGCCAACTATAAACACTCAATTTTTGTATGTTTTCCAAATTGTACTTATTAATGCTTTTGATACTGTATTATGTGCCAATAGTTTCCCAATCACATAGCAGGCAAAAGATATTTTGTACTTTTTGATCCACTGTAATATTTAATAAAAAATGTTACTATCTGTTCCCTTTTGTGTTTGATTAATAATTCTGTAAACAGCTCTTATCACCATGGATTACATATTATCCCATCTGACCTTTCAGCCCTCTTATATTGGTTTTTCTAGAGAAAATATTCCCTCCTGCAAATGATTAGATTAAAGAAATGGAAGTCTGCAATTTCCTAGAGGAGAAAGAGACAAGATCTTCAGTTCCCCTCTATTTTCGCAGTGTGCTCACATTAAAACGTGGCTCGGTCAGGCTGACTGCAGGAACAGCTTTGGATGGGACAACGTTCATACCTTCTCCAGAAAATTTGTTCCATTTGTATTTCAGAGCAGAGCTTTTTCCCCACTGGTATGGCAAGCTTAAACTCATGGCTGAAAATCACCCTCTGCCTTCTCAGTTCCACCACGAAGATTTTGCAGCTGGATGCTAACTGGTGAGTTTGTTGATGACAGTAAACAATCATTGAGTGAAATTAATTAGCATTCTATTCCTTACTGAGTCCAACACCCCCCTTAACATGGCAGTCCTTGGAGAAAGCTGTGATGCAGCAAGCTTTGCGCACTGGGTCACTCCTATCCTCCACAGCAGGAAAAATAATTTCCTTGGCTGTATTTCAGGAACGTGTGGCTATTGCCTGGCACACACCAGGGGAAGATGTGCCCTGCAGGCCTGGGTAGAAGCAGCCCGGTACCCAGAGGGCTTCAGGCAACGTCACTCAGGTGGTGCAGCCTAGGACCAGGCCAGTGCTCACAACCCCTGCAGGGGACACAGCACCTCAGCTGCCCCTCACAATGACTTGCAGTTACTGCTGGGTTTGTCAGCCTCACCTCTGCTCAGCATGGCTCTCACTGATGCGCTGGAGTCCACCCTGACCGGGCTGAAGAGCAGCAGCTCCCTGATGCTAGTTTCCAGGAAAACATTTTATGATGTTTCTACTGCTGGGAGAAGCAGGCAGGTGAGGCTGGCTGGTAGCACGCTCCTGCAGGCCTTCCAGGAATACCAAGCACCTTCCTGGAGCTAGGGCACGCAGCCTGTGTCTCTGCAGCCCCGTTCTGGTGGGCTCACTTGCTGCTAGAGCTTCCACTGCTTTTCACTTAGCTCTTTAATTCATCCTTTAAAGGATTAATAATAAAAAAAGTATTAAAAATGTGACATGCTCCATCTAGTGTCTTACCTGAGCCATGAGCCTGAATTGCCATGGGATGGGCCGTGTTGGTGCAGCAGGGACATCACCCCCCAACCCCATGGGGGGAGGCACTGGGGCAGTGGCACTGTCACTTACATCCCCACAGCCTCCTGCTGTGTGTCAGAGGCAGGTTATAAACCTGCACTGTAATGTGGGAGCAGTACTGGGGCGAGAATGCACTTGAAGGACCTGGAAGAGTGTTCCTCAGTGTGCACAGTTCATTTGAGAATGGATTATAAAACAAAATATTTCCCCTCTTCTTCTGGAGACAGAGGAGCTCCACAGCTGCGTTACTGCCAGTAAGGAGCACTGCAGCATGTAGCAGCTGAGGTGAGCCACTGCCTCACACAGCTGCAGGCCAGCACCTCATCTCACAACATGGCCACCGCCTGAGGGGCAGCATGCATGGAGCTGTCTTCAAGGGAGGAAAAAAGGTAGGCCAGGGAGCAAAAACCCGCCATTTTCCTTCAATTTGCTCTGAAATGCAGTTAGGAAAAAAAAAATCCTTTCAGTGGTGTCTCAGAGCAGGGACGTAGGGTGACCCTCAGAGCAGGGGTGTACGGTGGGCGCTAGGTGTGCCTGCCGTACCTTCACGGCTGCCCCCTGGCTGAGGTGAGAGGATGTGCCCCAGCCACCCCGTCCCACCTGTCTGTGTCCTGAGCTGACGTTAGGCCTTGAGATGGTGCTGTGAAGGGATGCGGTGCTGTGCTGGGCTGTGCGGCCGTGTTGTGAAGCGGCGCTAAGTTGTCGAGGGACGCCATGTTGTGAGGCGGCGCCATGTTGTCGGGGGACGCCATGTTGTGAGGCGGCGCCATGTTGTGAGGCGGCGCCATGTTGTGAGGCGGCGCCATGTTGTGAGGCGGCGCCATGTTGTCGGGGGACAACATGAGGAGGTGCCGCGTTGTGAGGTGAGTCTGTGCGGCGATGGTGTGTTGTGAGGTGAGTCTGTGCGGCGATGGTGTGTTGTGAGGCTGTGCCGTGTTGTGGGGTGATTCTTTGAGGCAGCACCGTATTGTGGGGGGGTCACCATGTTTTGAGGTGACGCTGTGAGGCGGCGCCATGTTGTGAGGAGACGCTGCAAAACGTCTTACATGAGCAGCAAGGGATTCGTTCACCACGTTAGTGCCAGAACTGTCTGTCTGCTCTTTAAAACAGCAGAGCAGTGCCATGGGCTCCTGGGCCTAGCAGCCCATTGCTGCCCGCTCCTACTACATCTCTCCCTGACGCCTGGGCTCCGGCAGCACGAGGTTCCCAAGCGCTGTGTTCTGCTCTTACCAAGTCTTTTCATGGCAGTATGTTTGCTTGCGAGCTCCCCGAAACACAGCCGGCAGAGAAAGCTCCCCCTTCTCCCTCAGTGTCTGCGGAGCTCTCAAATGAGGAATAAAGCCATTTGTTTCTAATTATATTTGGCAGTCACACAGAGAATTTAGGACTAAAGCACGCTATTTTTTTGCTCCTGATTAAAGCACTTGACCTCATAAGCAAAAGGCAAAGATTTCAACACACAGCCACAAGTAGGCTAGAAACAAACTGCAGAGAAAAGACCAAAAAAATGTTTTGCTTAGATACACAAAATAATTCATTATGAAACAAAAGGCAGAATATTTAGTGCGTAGCTTGAGCTTGCCTAGGGCTCATCTAACCACCCAATTACTGCTTCTAAAGCAGAGCGCATTTACTCCGATCTAACACAAACACGATGAGGACCCACATGCTCCATTGAGTCTGCAGCACGCATGTGACCGAGGCCCCGTTGCTGCCTGCAGAAGGAAAGCATCTCCATGCTGGTAGGAGAGCTGTGGTGGAAGCCAGTGGCAACGGGCATGGGAGCTGCTTTATTGTCATAGGTTTTTCCTGTGTTGCTTGGATGAAGTAGTTCCTGCCTGTCAGAACCTAGGGGAGGTAAACTGGTGGGGACGTGTTTTCTGTACAAACATCTTGAAACGGTGGGACTATTTTGCAGTTATTTAGGCCTCCTGAGCTCAGGAACTCAGGAAAAGCCTCATGTTTCCCCAAGGCTTTCCCTTATACCGCATCACAGAGTAAGGTGCAGCGTTGCTCATCCCAGGGCATGAGGGCCTGTTCCATCTCCTTTCCCCATTCATCTGGTTCCTGTGCTGGGCAGCAGGATGCCCAGTTCAGGAGCAGTCCCACACAAACCAGCCAGCTCCTTTGTGGCCGTGCAGCCAGCTCAGCTTTCAGCTCCCGGGTTTGCTGTTTGCCCGCTTGCTAACTGCACAGAGATGTGTCGCAACTGCAGAACAGTCAGCTGGCTCCCAACCAAGAGAAATAGCACTGATCTTGATGGCACTTTTTAAAATAGCAGAGAAACCAGCTCAAACAGAAATTAACTACCCTGCGAGGTTCTGTGGTCCATAAAATTCTTCCCCAGGCTCCACGGTTTTAAAATAACATGAAAGAAATACTTTCCATAAAATGTAGTTAACTAGCATACAGATTTTTTTTTAGTCGTAATTCTGAAAGTCATACCCAAACAAAATAGTTATACAAGCATTAAATTATACATTAAAGAAGGCCGATAAAGACAGTGAATTACAGAGTTACCGTGCGAGATTTCAGATATACAGATAGTAAGCATTATTAACATTTTTATTGAAGGTGGCCTACAAAAGAGGTACAAAAAAATCAGTGCCACTGCTGATTTCTTGTAACGCAGGAAAACATGAATCTGTAGCAGCTCAAGCCCAGCGGCCAGCCAGTGCCCATTAGGTCTGCCTTCCTCCCCATCCTTTTCACAAGTATCAATGAGTAAGAGAGCAGAGGATGCCTTTCTGCAGGGGCTGCAAAGCACCAATCTTTGTTCTTTGAAGGACATAAAGTGGATGTTTTTCTCAGTGATCACCTGGAATAGTGGGGGTGTTTGTGGTGGAGAGAGGTTTTTCTCTGTGCTTTACAAAGGCTTAAACAAGCAAGCAAACATGGAAACAAGCCATGCAGGCTGTGGCAGGTCGCTTTCTGGTGTGGCAGGTCGCTTTCTGGTGTGGCAGGTCGCTTTCTGGTGGGCTAGCCTCTCATAGTGGGTTTGTTCTGCCATTTCAGAATGCGTAGGCTCCTCAATCCCTCTCTGAGCTGTGCTGAGGGTGCTTCCCCATGGGCTTACCAGTCTGTAAGGGCTGCACTTATTCCAGCTCACTGTGCAGTAAGTGTGAGGTGTCCCCTCTTGCAGCTGTCTGGGCACTAGGAAAGTGCCCAGGCAACCTGCTCACCTTTGAGCTGCTGCCCTGTCCTGTGGCTGCAGCCATGTTATGTGGTTAGTGCTAGTTTCAAAATTTCTCTGGAGGAAACTGATGGACAAATTGAAATGCATGGACATACACGGAAATACACCATGACTGCATATGTCGCATTTTCATAGGAAGTCAATCTTAGAAAATTTGGGTGGCAAAGCACAGCAGCGTATTGCTTTGTCCTGCAGCAGCCAGACTTTGCTGCTGGGTGCTGCCACCCTCCCAGCTGCATCCCCGCACCCCTGCAGCGTTAAAGGAACTGTAGCTAGATGAGAACTGAATTGCTGATGGAGAAAGCAATCGATAGGGAGTGGAAAATATTGATTTACATATGGCACTAACACATAGGGAAGAAGATGTGTGTGCTCAGTGCTACATGCACGGAAAGGAGCCCTGCACCTTGGCTTATGCCAGCTGGCTGATGGGAAAAAGCATTTTCTAAGCATCTCATAAGCAAGAAAGTGAGACCAACACAAAATAATGCAAAAAAGACAAATTATGTTAACCTTTCAAATACTGAAGATCCAGCATTTGCCATCAGAGAAATGACGTGAAAAGGCCCTTATGTGTCTTTGCAAGGGAGTGGTGCAGCCATGAATGGCGTGAGTCCTTCCTGTCTGCCCTACAAATAGAGCAGCAGTGTCCTATCAGAGGCATACCAAATTTCAGACAGGCCTGCCGTGAGGATGGCACTGTACCAGTTTTGTAGCAGTGTCTTTGTGCAGTGTGCAGTGCTTGGGCTTTAACTTCAGGTCACAGAGGGACTCCATATTTCCAGCTGCAGTCTGTTATTCTTTGCCATCAGTATCTGCTTTGTGTTGAGCGACAAATTTCAGATACTGCTATTAGTGTTTGTTTTCATCAGAATTTTTTCAATTACATGATTTCCAGATTGTCATCAGAATCTCCCAAATATTTCTAATACCAAGATGGGCTCCCACAAGGACAGACTTGATGACAGCTCATTAAAGGTACTTTCCTCTCTACAAGGCGGTTCTAATAGGCTATTCCATTGCCATTTGTGAAGGATGTGGGCTATGGGCAGTATGGTATGGTAGCACACTCTGTGGCAGCCAGCAGTCCTGGCTCAGACTTCAAGCGTGCCCCATGCCCTGCATGGGCTGCTGCAGCTGTTTTCTCAGCTGTAGGCAGGACACAATCATTTTCATAAGGAAGTCATAGATCTCATCATTTCTAGTTTGTATCAAAATCAAATATCAAAATACCAAAAATCAAAATCTCTGTTGGGTTTTAAGTCAAGTAAAGCCCCACGCAGGAGCAGATCTGTTGGTCTGTTCTGCCCTGTGCAGTTGCAGTGTGTGCCCAAAGCAGTTGTGGGTGGAGGTAACCCCTGTGCAGAGCATAAAGTGAAACCCAGAAGTGAAGGCATCATTTTTGCTGAGACACATCAGTCAGTCTTTTGGTACTTAGAGAAGTTCCACCTATCAGCAGAACCAGAACGTGCTACTGTCGTTCTGTGCCTGAGCATCCAGCTGCTTTTCCATTGCAGGCTTCTTGTCTCAGCACCTTATAATCTCACAGTAAAATTCTGTTTCTTGCTGAAGAAGGAGAGGGAGGATGTATGGAAAAGAAGTGCTGCACATTGCTTTTTTCCCTTATGGCAGCTTTTGTGCCAGGCAAAGCAGATCATTTCTTCAGCTACAGTTTTGTCTAATATGAAAGAAAGAATGGATGGAGGCAGTGAATTGCATTTTCTCACTTGAAACTATATTGCAACCTGACCAAATATTATTCAATAACTGATATAAAATAAATTTGAAATAAATAAGGCCTGACAACAATCTACTACATTATGAGCTTATCTTGGTGAGTTCAGTCACATCTGTGTCAGTGTGGACAGACTCCATCCAAGCCAGATTCCTGACAAGGCTGTTGCCAGTGCTGATCCTTTCACACTTGTAGTAACCAGCCATAAGGAGCAAAAGAGAGAGTCTGTCCTGTAGCAGTAAAGAAATTGGCATCTGAAGCAGGAATGGGAAGGCAGAGTGGCTAATTCGTAAAGGTATTATGTATGCCAACAAGATAGAGATTTTTGTTTCCAGTAACTTAAAATATGCCATGCAGTGCATCCTGATTTTACTCTGCTGTGTACGGCCAGAACATGTGGGCAGACCTGCACTCCTTTCTCGCTGTGTTAATTTCTGCTGGCTTCCTTTGGCCGCATGTTTGTTTGTTTAGCCCCCCAGTAGCTGAGGCAGGATGGCTCTGCTCAGAAGGAGCAGCTGTTCCTCATTGAGCACAGTGTTAAGCTACTTTTACAGCGGGATTGATGGAGGCAAGAAGGAGGTCAAATGATTTATCCAAGTTCAGGCAGAGGGCCACTGAACAGCTCGCCTATAGCACCTATTGATTGCCTATCCTGCCTACACATTCTGTAGGAAACATGAATGAAAAGACTGGAAGCAGCAAGACGGAGACCAGCAGTTCCCAATGCCTTCCAGCTGTGGCTTTCTAGATGGGTCCTGTGTAGCAAACATCCCTGGGAGGACAGCAGGAGCTGCAAGGTGTTAAATTAGGCTGAATCTCCATGTGTTCCTGCCCTGCCTTCCCACTGCGATGGCCTGTGCCATGCCGGGCTCTGCCACTTCTGCTCTTCCAGACTGCTTTGGAGTCTGGAGTGGTTGCCTTTGGAGATGTGCTTAATTTTTCTTATTATTATTCTTTCCAAAAACAATGTTTTTGTGTTTTTTTTTTAATATTCACTGCAATACTGTGTGCACAGCTGCTTTGCTGCCTCATAGGAAAATCAACACATTCTCCATAGTTGTAGTCTGAGTAGGCACAGCAAGATGCTGGTAGCCTCTGGATGCTGAGGAAGAGAGGGACAACCAAGGACAAGACAGCAAGGTCATAGTAATAAATTGTGGTGAAATGCTTCGACAATGGAAAATAATTTGGCCCAGCTCCATCAGCAGTGATGATTTCTTTGCAGCGGTCACAACTTCCCCACACAGACATACACTTGCAAAGTTTGTGGCTAGCACCAGTGGGAACTATCTAGCAGGTTTGTAGCTGGAAAGTCTCTTCTGTTCTCTTCTGGTGGCATCAGAGGCCAATCCTGTGTGCCAAAAAATAAGTGCTCTCCGATTTTCCTGTTTGTTTGGCTTGTCCTTCTCACCAAGCCGTCTTGTGCTGTCCTAGCCATTCAAGCAGCCTCTGAGTGTGCCACTGGCAGCACCTGAATAGATGGACACCAGAACTGGCCTCTGTTTGCAAGAGATAAGGCATTTTCTGTGCTCAAGTATTGCATCTGTCCATCTCCGCCTGCTACAACCAAATCCTCTAACAGTTACCCTGCAACACCCCCTGTGAGAGAGCCTGTGATCCACCCTGCCCAAAGAGAGCTTGTGCTGTATACAGAGGTGATCATGTCACAGCTGTACCTAGGGCATCGTGCTTTCTCTTAGCTGACACTTCCCAGATTAACCAGTTGTTAACACTTGCACCCATCCAGTGTCTTCCACAGTAGGCAATGTGGTGCTAAAGCTACGTGCTCCAATGAGCCTTAATTTCAAGCCGACAGAGGCTCCCTCAATGCAGCTCAAGAGCCCAGTGAAGCTTCGGGGCTGCAGAGAGCGCTGCTGAACGTGATCTGTTTGACTTTCCTGGTGGAACTTTGATCTATCCAAATATCAGCTTGAGTGCAGTGAGGAAAGAGAATTTTTACCAAGCCATGGCTTTGGTTGTGCCTTTTTATTTCACTGTTTATCTAGTTCTCTGTATTTAGAAATAAGTATAAAGTATAAATAAGTATAAAGCCTAGAGCAGGCTTCCCTGATTTGGCTATTCAACAACCTGCCGAGCTGCAGCTGTGTGTGTGGAGGGGCCTACCTCTCTAGCACGTATCTCCATGGCTCACTCATTATGCAGCTAAAAAGCCCCAGCTAACTCACTTGCCTGCCACACATCCTTCCTGCAGCAGTCCTGGGTTGCTGCTCCATGGGGAGCCTGCTGGGCCTGGGGTCCCAGGATCTGCACACCTCGCCTCCAGCACACAGGCAGCATCAGCAGAAGCCCAACCGTGGCAGTATTCATTAATGGATGTGCAGCATGCTGCAGCTTCTGTCATCCTGGGCTGAGTGAATGGGAGCCATCATATCACTTTCACTGAAGTTTGTTGTTATTCTTCTTAATCTTGTTTGCTTTTTTTTTTTTTTTTTTTTTTTTTTTTTTTTTTTTCTTCATTAACTGGGGTCTTGTTCAGAACTTTCCTCTCTTCGATGGGAGGGAATTAAAACACTATGTTTGGCAGTGTGGGTGAACCACACCAGCTGCATGCTAACCAGCACGAGAGCAGTTTGCAGGCAGTGTGCAGGCACTGCAGTCATCCATTCCAGCCCTCAGCAAGCGGCCTTAGAGGAAAACACCTGCATCCACTCCTTGAGTGTAGCGCAACTACCTGGAGGGGTGACCTGGTACTAGTCTGGGTTAAGCTGGTTTTGGGAATGTTTCTGCAAACCTTGTGATGATAGGTCGCCTGCATCACCTGCCTCCAGCTGCTGGAGTTCTGTGGTCATTGTATTTTATGTATATATGATTGTATGATGATACGGTTTTATGTATTTATGCATGTTTATGCATATACTTAAGTGATGAGTTGGCTTATCTGCACGCTTTTAGAAGGACTGGCACTTTGAAACCTCTCTGTTAAGAACTGGGCTTGGCAGAAAGGTGTATTCTTAGCAAAGAGGAGTTGTACTTAGAAACTTGCTTTACTGGCAAGTGCATGGTAGCCTGTAGGGCATTAAGTGCTTAGGAAGAGCATTGATGCAGTCAGGTCGAGCTTTGCCTCCCTCTGGCCTCCAAAAAGCAAACAGAAAGGAGCAAGGTTTGCTCTACTAGCAGCAACAACTCCACAGGCTCTGCCTGTGTGCAACGGTGAAGTGACCCTGGCCTGGCCCTGCCCATCACCTTGTCCCTTGTACCTTTTTTGTTGGTAGGTAGGTGGTTAATTACTTGAAAGTTGCAAGCTGAAGTCTTATTTTTTGTATGTGACTTAGTAATTAAATTCCTCCAGTTGGTATTACATAATGTAAGTAACAGCGACATAATTTTAAAAGAATAGTCAAATCTGACAGACAGTTTAGAGTAATTTCACTTTATATTGGAGTCTAATGCTGAGAGTGCACAGAAAGCAGAAGGCAGCTGCCTCAAATAGTTTGAAATTAGCATGTGGTAACCAACAACTATTATTATTGTATTACTGCTGTAATTCCCAAATGGAGAATTAAATTTCTACAATAGATACAGCTTTTAACCAAAAAAAAAAAAAAAAAAAAGGGAAAAAAAAGTGTGCTTTTTTTTTTTCTTTTTTTTTTTTTTCTGGGAAGGAACACTCTTTTAATAAATGATAGAACTGAATGTACGTTTCCCAAACGAAGGGAAGGAAAAAAACCAGCCTTGCAGGAGTCCTCATCACAGGGCTTCAGCTTCTCAGCAGCTGCCGCTGTAGGGTTGCTTGAGGTTTGTTCAAAAGGACAGGCAGAAAGGTAGATTTAATATTTAAAGATAAGAACAAGCAAATTAATTCACTTTTTGAGCTTTAATATACGTCACTGTAACTGCATTTAGCTTGGAATTCAGCATTAGCTTGCCAAAAATGAGAGGTTCTGTCTCTGCCACAAAATACTGAACTGGAGCCCTCTGCTTTGCAGTGTCCTCCTTCTCAGCATGGATCTCGCCAGGAGTGATAGAGAGGGCGGCAGGGCTGATGGTTGGATGTCAGATGTTATAAGCTCTTGGAGCTTGTGCTGGATGGTAAGTCTTGAGCCTAATTCTGACGGGCTTTTACTTCTGCATATCAGTTATGCAGAGGCCAGCTCAGGTATGGGGACCTATGCACTAACCTGATCTCCCATATCGACTTTAAAGTCACTCAGACAATCAGTGCGTCTTTAATTTGAAATGCTTGATGGCTAATCTCTTGTTTTCTTTAATTAATGATCTATAGTTAACCATTCTGAATGGTAAATAGCCTATTTCAGCATTGACAGCAAGATTTCCTATGGGAAAATCTTCTCCTATAGCTTTAATTTAAATATGCACTTTCACATAGCACTTACCAAATCCTTACCTTCATGCTATTCCGTGATTATGAGTCCATTAACTAATCACATTTGACAAGTTGTTTATTGAGGAGAGCAACTATTTTACATCTCTTGCCTGGGAAAGAAAATACTCTAACAAACAATTATTCAGCAGCTGCAATCATGGAACATTGAATTAATTGCTTTGAAGATCACAGTCAAGAAGATCTTGATAAAATCAAAGAAAATGTGGTTTGACAGAATGCATGAATGGGAATGTTGGAAGGGAATCTGGCTTTGTCAGCCACAGCCGTGTTCCAGGGGAGCACAAAATGAGCGTCACACCTCGAGACATGGGGCTGGGCAGAGAATGGAGCTGTGGAAAAGCTTGTTTGCTTTAGTTTATCAGAACCAGAATTTATATCTGATTCGATATAAATCAGGATGCGAATGCTGCTTAAAGGGCAAGCAAACGAGCACAATCAGGCCTTAATATCACTATAAAGGCTGATGCAAGGATATTTCATACGCGTAAGCCTCTGTGGGCTACTTTTCCTGCCATACAACAAATTAAGTCGGGGTACTGTGAAGCTGGGTGTTTGCAGAGCACTTCAGACTGTTTACGTTGGAGCGGGACACAAGGCAGAGCAAGTGGTGTGCCTGGGATGTGTGGATGTGTGGGGACACTCTGGGTGGGCAGGAGGGAGTACATCTGGCTGTGTGCCCAGAGCACCACCTCTGGCTTGGGCTCTCGAGGGGTACTTCTGTGGGAATATGGCCAGAAAAAATAATGGCATTGCTGCCCCAGTTTCACTCAAGTATTGGGATCAGAAGCTCTGATTTCTCTTCAGCTCCTGCGCCTATGGAGTGACACAGGAAAGGTGTTCATCTCCATATAACTGCTGCTCTTGCAGTGTCTCAGACAAGGCAGGTCCAAACTGCTCCATGGCCAAAAGAAGGCATCCTTTGGCTGCCGCATCGTTACACACTTCAGAAGCCAGCTGAGGGTGCAGTGTGTTCCTCCTGCCTGTAAGGATTGACTCCTACAGGACACCAAAAGGGAAGGGAAGCTCAAAGGTTCAAAACTTCTGTTGTAAGGGGCTTTAAAACAGAAGTATGAGGATGGAACAGGATAGTCTTTGAGTACTGTCACTACAACAAGCTGAAAAAGGTGCTCAGTAGGCTGAAAGGCAGTGAAAATGTCAGATGGCTTTTCTGAAAACATCTTGTTTGGGTTATTGTGGGTCATATGGAACTCATACAGTTATCTTTCCAAATCTGCCTTGTTCCTATGTTAAAAGTACTTTTATTCAGTTAAGTGCTGTAGAAATAAAAACTTCAATTCTTTCTCCTTTTAAAGCTTTCCTCCACCCTGGATCAGTTTTGGAATCTGAGAAGGGGCAGGGAAGAAAGTTGGAGGAAGTTTGAGATGCAAGTGCTAGCTCTTTCTAGGAAATAATAGTTAGAAATAAGTGGAGAACACAGGCCTGTTGGACGTGGGGTTATGCTGAACAGTACAGCAGGAGTCCAAATGGGAGAGGAAATCTTTGCATGACCAGCGCCACCAGGAAATAAATAAGCAGTGGGAACCAGGAGGTGAGTGCAGCTGCAGTTGAATGTCCCAGGCCTCAAGGATTGAAGCTCCCAAGAGCTGGGGAAGAGCTGTTTTGAGAGTGCTGGCATTCCAGCAGTGCTCCATGAAAGCCGTGCTAATGCAGGGAAGTGCAAGCAGTGACAGTGACAGTCCACCCACCATCCCCTCAGTTACGCAGCCACTGCACACTCCCAGTTCAGGAGAGCCTGTGCGCGTGGCATTATTTCATAACATCACACTGCCACACCAAATGTAGCAGCACTAAGGAATGCCTCAAAATGTATGATGGAAGCTACTGTTGTTGTCTCCATTTACAGGAGGAGGATCTGAGGAGCTGTGACCTTGCATTGCTCTTGCTCTATGTGGCCAACTGCCTGAACTGAAAATATACCCTTGGAACTCTGATTCAAGTAAGATTCTTTTTCTTGAGTAACCCTTTGGCTGTCTTCAGTGCTTGAATAGCATAGATGGAGCCTGATGATAATTGGCAGTATTTTTTAATTGTTTCTGCAGGCATAGGTGACAGAATCTGCCTTGCTTAAGGAAGACTGTAGAAAAAAGCAAGTAAATCAACTTGCTGAAGTTTGTATTAATCAGTCTAGCGAGCTGTAAGAGTAACAGTGAACAGAGCTGTTCTATTTTATTCCTACAAAAAAAATGTAAAGAGTGGGCTATGCATTAATGCTTGGAAATTAACCAACTTTACTTACCAAGGAATTATACCATTACTTTAATGGGTAAATAGAAAAGAGTGCATTGGTCTATAGGCGTAACTGGCAACAGTAGGCACTGGGATAAAACTGAGTTAGTCTGAGGAAAGCAGACTGGTTTTCATTGAAGAGTAACAGCCAATCAGATATTTTAAAAATTTTCTCATGAGGTTACAAACAAATTGTCATGTATTAAACACACAAATTCTTATTAAAATAATAAAAATTACGAAAACTCTTGCACCTCCTCACCAGCCAAAGGGATGCTGGCAATTGTAGGGGCTTTTTCTGCATTGCTAGGGGAAGAACTGCTCTGGGTGCCTGCAGCCAGTGATAGATACATTGTGACATGATTGATTTGCAGCAGGAGTAACCACGGGCCCAACAAAGACCTTAACAGAAAACCACCCAAAGGTAACTTCTTCATACAAAGGTTGCCATGCTCTCTGACTGTGAAATTCCTGTTTGAATTGTCCCTCCTGACTCCGTAGGCAAACCTGTGGCAATTAAATTCAGATCAGTGTGAGAAAAGATGTCCACACCATGCTCATTCCCATCCCTTTCTTCTCCATATTATGTGCTTCCTTGGAGCAGCCAAGAGAAAACGCATTCTCATGGTATCATCAAAGGAGCTGCGCCAGATTTTCCTACCAACCAGATCAACAGGCTGAGTCTGGCAGCTCTGTACACCAGCTCTCGTGACTCCAGCTGATACATTCACATCCTGAGAAGGCCTGGTAAGTTGCTTTCGGTTTATTTTAAATACTCTCAACTCTTGTGTACAGCCGTGAGGGACTAAAGAATAATGGTCATGAAAAACAAAGGATGTACAGCAGCTGTTACCATCTGAAAAACAAATGTTGTATGGACAGAGCATCTTACATGTGACAGTTTCGCATTCATATTTTTCCGTCTGTTGAGAAATTTGGAAGTCAGATGTTAAGTTCACTAGAGCAGAGCTAGGAAACCCTTTTCTTTCCTAAGGTCTTTATTTAAGAACTATTGATTCCAACTGAAGATCAGTGGAAACATTTGTTTTTCACTAAGGTGGAAAGAGCAGCTAAGGCATAGACAATACTTTGCATAACATGGTGCTCTTGTAACCCAAGAGTACCCCTGAGCTAAAGTGTGTTCAGCTCTGGGCACCAAATAATCAGAATATGCTTGGAATTTCGAAACGTACACTAATTAAAAAATTGAATATATAAGTCAAAGAATGATGGAAAAGACTGGTGCCATTTACCTTCCGGGTAAAGAAAACAGTGTGAAGTTCTTGATATATTTGCTACAACCTTCGTACCCAATGGTGAAACAACCCCAACCACAGGTGAGAGATTCTTACTGACTCTCCCTCTCAGAAAGAAAATGTACAAATATAAAAGTTTGAAAAGAAAATCCTCTATTTTTGTTACTCTCTTGTCACCACTGTGAAAGTTACAGAAATCTGAAGACAAGCCACAGTGGACTGAAAGATGCTTCACTAGTTATGAATTTTCTCCCTTTGGGAAGGTATATTAAGAACGCTTAGAAAGCTTTCTTGATATAAACGTTGAAAAATTGCTTTTTCACTATGAAAAGCATTTTAATGTCTCACAAACAGATTTTTTTGTGAATCTATAAATACACATATGGAAAGATTACAATATAACCATTTGGTGCTGGTACCTGAAAAGATATCATATCTTATTTTTCTACCATTGCTTAAAGCAAACTGTAGCATTAGTTGTACAACAGTCTTCATTAAAACGCTCAACAGCATTGGCTTGCCTTGCAATTATCAATCATACTTTATTTTTTTCACAAATCAGTCAAATAGTCTACAATTAAAACATCTAACAACTCCCTCTATGTTTATTACAGTTCTTTTACAATAATTAAAAGTAAACCTCACTTGAGCAGCAGTTAGCTTTAAGCAAGCAGAATTGCTCTGAGCTCTGTCCAGCAAGAATAGGAGTCACTATAAGATTGTCCAAAGCAAGGAGGAAAAAAAGGATGGTGTTTGTGATGCTGGCAGCTCACACACAAATCTCCTGGATACACTGTACTACTAGTTGAGCAAGTAATACACACTGCCAAATGCTTTTTCCTCTCCTCCTTCTGTTAATAAAACCAAGAGCAATGCTGTTTGCTACTGCCCGCACTAGCTGGAGACCAAACTCAGTAGACAGGGTTGGATGTGAGCTCTTTGAAGGTAGCCATATGTCCTCTGATTTTACAGCAGCCACCAGCCATGGAGAAAAGTTTCATGTAATTCTAGGACTGAAGGAAATTGCACTGAAACTCTTTTTCTCTAAAAGCATCTTTAATTTAAATCCAAATACAGTACATTTGCAGCACAACATTACAATTCCTGTTCCAATATTTCACAGTCCATTAGTTTCCTGTAATTAATTACAAATCAATTCTGAATACTAGGACAGTATTTTTAGATATGTAAAAAGTACCATAAAAATAACTACTTATAACCATTACTACAGAAAAAAAAATTACAAATGTAACAATGTAAACATTTAAGCTAAAGTCTTTAAAATTGCAAGCCCAAGTGAACAGCACAAAACACAAGGTACCATCTAAAAAGTTACTAATCCAGGTTTTGTACAGGCAGTGCTGCAGAAGTTGTTCGTACTACGTGAAATTCACATTCAAGTTTGGACTAGCTTTTAAGCTGTGCTTCCTAACAGAAAGGTTGGCTATTGTCTTCACTATACTCCAAGGCTGCAATCCCACTACTTAATTGCTTTTAAGCAGAAATTAATTAATTCCAGCAGAGAACAAGGAAGACAAATTTCAGAGCAAGCTTGATGTGTTCTTTACAAAAGCAGCATATCAGTGCAGCTCAGAAGCAGCAAATGAACGAACAAGATGCACAAAGCTACCAACATCTTTGCTGCACAACAGTAGGCAGGTGGGGCAGTTCATTAGCAGTGCAGTGCCTCTGCAAGAACGCTATTTTTCTGCAGACTCCACCACAAGGCAGCAGTGCACTGGTTTGCCTGCACAGCTGTGAGAGGCAAATAACTGGGCTGCAAGGGCCGGAGAAGCCACAGGTCTCATGCTGTCTTACCCAGCCTTAGCCCAGCAGGAGGCTGCCTGACTTCCCTTCACCCTTTGTGAATTAGTTCCTATTTCTGCACTGTTTCTAGATGCTAATCAAATGACTGAGCTATTGAGTTCTCTGCTGAATATTCGTCCTTGTTACAGTCAGGCACACTTGAGGCAAAAAACAATGGGGAAGTTCTAATTTCTGAACAAGTCTTTTAATGATTAGAAGGGGACCGATGTCTTAGTGAAATATTATAATTTGTCACCACATGGAAAAGCCAAAAAAATGTAAGTTTTCCTCACAGATATATCTTGTAATTATACTCCTAAAATTTGCTGGCTTTATTACTTTTATTTATGTTCTTTTGAGTAGACAAAAGGAGAGTACAAATCTCTTCCCTAGAACTGACTTTATTGTATTGCTGAGATCAACGCTCACTGGTAGCCTGCAGTTTTTAATCAGTGAAAGCAGCCTGCTGAACAGAAGATGAGAAGGCAGTAATAAAAGGCAACACATAAGGGAAAAAAAAAAAAGAAAAAAGACTAAGTCAGTACAATAAATATTAAAACCTGAAGTCAACTGATGCTTCATAACAAGGGATTATATAGTGGTTGCTTAAAATAGCAGAAACTACATTCAGTAGCAGAAACATTTCCAGCTGTAGGAGCCTAAACATGTAATTAGTTTAACAAGTCTCAGCAGTGTCATGACATTTTGCAGGACTGCAAGAACAATACTGTTCTGCGGAAAGAGGATGATCAGGGTAATTAATGGCCTCGTTTGCTTACGGTGATCAGGGCAACGCAGTGAGATGGATGGTATGAGACTAACTGAAGGATAGATTGTAATGTCAATCAACACAGCCTCACGGAGAAGAGGTCTCAAACAACGGGCTGAATTTTTTGCTTTGATCCAGTAAGCTGAGATTACAAGAACACCTGCACTGAAGTGTTATCCTTAGGACCCCAGGGCACCCAGCGCAAACCAGACAAACATGTCATTTCTTTCAAATACCCGTCACAGATAAAGATCAATATAGACTGTTGCATTGAAAACAGATAACTAATTTCAAAATGCAGTATTAATAGGGAATCACAGGATGCATGGAGGCTTGTCCTGAATTTCCATCTTATTCAGTTTTTAAAGGCTCTTGGAAAAAAGAGACATGAACTCAATGTCCTGTTTGCTTTTCCCCACCCCCATTCATGTCACCGATCTAATAAAAACTTATCACCTCTCTCTACAAACCTTGCCTTGCATTCAATTTTAAAAATCAATGATCTGGAAGAAACTGTAAAAATCACTTGCAATAAATTTGCAAAGGACATGCAGGCTGCTGGAGTAGTAAAGAATGGGGACAGGTCACTTACACACAGCAATCTGGATCGCTTCATAAGCGGTATTTTAAGGCTGGTAAAATATAGTGTATACTTCCAAGAAAAAATAAGTTAGGATAATAAGGGGATGAAGTACCACATTCTAGAAAGAGACTCTGAAGAGGACCTGAGCCATAAAAGTCAGCATCCAAGGTAATGCTTCTGCAAAAAGAAGGATAATGTGATTTTTGTGGAAATAGGGTAGGGAGGTATTTATCAGAGTAAGATTATGTCTGTATAGTCCTGCTGGATCACTGTTGACACGTAGCATCTAATTCAGAGATCACACAAAAATATTTAAATATGTGAGAAGTACAGAGAAGAATGTGAAGATGAATTAGTCTTGGATAACATTTATTTCCATAGGAAAGTTAAGGAATTCAGTATATCTCATCAGAGAAAAGGTTAAAAGGGACATAATCATGATTTATAGCTACACACAAGCAATTAGAAAAGCTGATACTACAGAGATCAATATAAGCAATCAAAGGCATAAAAAGACCAAAATAACTTAAGGTGGAGCTAGAAATGCAAATAGAAAAATCAAGTGAAAAACGTACCTGGGGTAATTAACTATTGCAGCAGGAGGAATGGGTGAATGCTCGTCACTTGAAGAATTTAATATTAAATGCCTGCCTAAAATATGTATGTTGTAGTTCAAAACAAAGCTCCTGAATTTAACAGGGAAACTGCTCATTGAAATTCAATGGCCTGTTGAATTTAAAAATGAATTCTTGTTATGTTGCCTTCTTGCCTCATATATTTAAGAGATTTATTTTGAAATATAGCAACAAAGTGGAAGGGGGTTACAAAAAAAGATACTCTTTTCATAGGAGAGTTACATTTAATGCTAGATTTAAAGCTAAATAATTTGCAGCTGCACCTTTCTCCCCCTACCATGTTTATTTTTTCCTATTTCTTGTTCAGAATTGCACAGTCCACTTAGTGGCTGTGTCTAATTTACATAATCATGTCGTTATTCTTCAGTTTTTCTGTTCCTATTTATAAACCATTCACAAACCATCCACTTAAGTAACAGCATGATTTGTTGTAAGAATTATTATGGCTGTTTCCAAGGGAAAATGGAATGTGATTAAATGAAGAACGAACAATGACATTTTTTAAACAGAGGGTTCTAATCCCACAAAGGGATTTGTAAATGAAACCTGCCCATCAAATTCCATCCCAAACAGCCAATGAACTACTGAGGAAATGCAGCAGATACCTTTACAACTGTATAGCCAAGAGCTTAGCAGAAGACAAAAAATAGATAAACAAACTAACCAACCATGCACACAATATCTTCCAGAGAAATGGTAAAACTCCCAAAGCCATCTGTACTTTCAAAAAAAAAAAAATTAATGAAGTGTATGTATACAGTTGCTGATGTGACTCAACGCAAGTCTGAATACTAAGGCTCTAGAGGAAAATCTGCAGGCAGACCTTTGCTCCTGGCTAAGTTCCAACTTCTGAAAGAAATGCATCAAGCAAGGAAAGAGCTGGATATTTAAGCTGTGGATCCAGGAAAAAGGAATCTTTTCTGCATGAAATAGATTTTTTGCAGGTGCCACAGGAACCATAATAACCCACGCTTCTTATAAAAATGGTTAACAGTGATATAAGAACATCAGAGTTCAATATTTTCAACTGAAGAATTCATTCTCTTATTTCAAAAATGAGTGGGGATATAAAAAACCTATTTGTTTACCAGTAATGCTGTCACCTTTACAAAAAGCTATCTACAAGGAACAGCTGAGAAGTTCCGTGGAGGAGTGATGATACAGAGCTTCATTCGTCAAAAAAAAAACCAAACAAACATTAAATAAATAAAAAAAAAAGAAATCCCCAATAGGTATTCATTGGCAGTAGTGCTTTGACATGTTTGTATTAGTCCAAAGTAAACCATACTGATGGATTCCATTCTTGTTCGTGTGCAGACAGACGCAGTCCATTCAGACAGTGCATGCACCACAAAGGACCACAGAGATCTTGTTAAATTGGTAGAACTGCTTCAGAAACTCATCCAGAGCCATTCAGAAGTTTGCAGTAACTGTTCACAGCACATTATCTTATAAGCAGTGGTTCTTAAACACTGACGGAGATCTGGGAATATTTCAGGTGAAGCCAAGCACAAAGTCCAAGAAAATCAGTTCTGGGACACTGGTGTTGAATATCTGAAATTCCACATTGAATTAGTTTAAGGAGCTGCAGATGGGACCAGCAGAGGGACTGGGAGAAGCCCACAGTAAAATCCCTGTGGCACGGACACTGAGATACCCTGAATACTGACAGTTTTTCAGGGGAAAGGAAACTTTGTTTCAAAAATAGCATCATTATTTGAGATAGAGATAAACCCTTCCCCATTATTTGTGTAATTATTCAGATGTTAGCAATAACAAGTAAACGAATAATGCAGCTAGTAGTAATGTTCTAGATAAAAGACCAAAACAGAGAAACGAGAAAACAAACGAACCAACCAACAAGACTTCAGCCTCAATACTTATAAACTATATACCAATACCAAGTTTCACTCAAAAGTTACAGTATAAGGCTGGAGAACTTACTTAAAATTTCAGGGACTTTTCTAAGCCAGTAGTTAAGTCTGTGGCTGTAACCATGATCTAGGGTCTAGCACTTCTGTGACGCGTTTCAGTCTAGGGGTTGGTACTGGTTTGGTTTCAGACTCTGTCTTAGTAACCAAAGAAATGGGATTCCTATGGTCGGCCAAACTGTTTTTCCTACAAGGACAGATTCTGAGAGGAGCAGCAGCGGGTGTCTGCAGTTGCTGTGTTTCCATAGATAACGCTGAATCTAAAGAACTACAAGATGTGCCACCAGGCCTCTCCCAGTTCTCTTTGTCCCATTCCTCTGTGTTCCCATGTGCTTTTGCATTGTATGCTGGTTTATCAGAGGGTGGAGGTGGAGCTCTTCTTTTCTTCCCTCTGCCATCATTAGGACTTGCAGTATGCATATTTTTCTGAACAACCATCTCATGAGATCCATCAAAGAGTGAAGCCCATAGGGAAGATGCAGGCTCTTTTTGCTGGCAAAGCAGGAACTCACCATCACTCTCTTCAATTTTTCTTTGTATGATATCAGCTAAGCCCTCATGTTTCACTGGAGAATCAATGCCTGTAATTTTAAGGGACAGCAATTAACTCAGATTAAAATGCTACCCATGACTTTACTCCTCTCTATTTTATTACTGTTCAGAATACAAAACTGTATTAACCATGTCTCATGAAACCTGGACTGCTATTAAGCGTATTAATGGAAGAAATGGAAAAGATTACATATGCTTTCATAAGAGAAAGCTGGGAGACAGGAGAGAACTGTTTTCATGACAGCTGGTGTTGGGAGAACAGGGTAGGAATTGATCCTTCTTTCCAAGTAAATGCTGAAAAAAATTATAAATATATATAGACATACATACATACGTATATATATACACACACACACAGACACAATCTACATAATAGATATATTTTGCTGTACAGCACTTTGAAATTTTCATTTTACACAAGGTGCATGGAAAAATCTATGACTAAATATTCCTGTGCCTCCGGCCTGCAGAAAATTGAACGTCTTTACATATACCATTTTTCTTTATGTGCTTTAAGACTGTCTTGCCCCATTTCTGATCTCTCATATTGAATTTTCTAGGTAGACCGTAATAATGCTAGCCTTTAGAACAGAAGCAATATCTTTTCTATTTCAGGTCGCACGTTAAGGATTTTAAAAACAATTTTAAACACGGGATTTTACCTATGAATACTGTCAATAAGCAGAAAAACACTGGTATATTAAGAATGAAGCAGAGTTTGTGTTCTGCTCCACACTGATATATTTGAGCATCAGCAGAATTATACTACAGCATTACCTTCACAGAACTTCTATATAGTTGATTTACTGCCTTCCTGCTCTGTGTTCATTGCTGAGGTAGTGTTGTGACTGCTCGCTGCTCTGATGCGCAGGAGCTCGATGACCCACACAGCATTTTGAGCATCTTCACAATTCCAGTCTCAAGCACAAGCAGTCAGGCATTTATAGTCGTACAGTGTTCTTCAGCCATTACTGCATTAGATCCATTAAAACAGTGACCTACTTTTTCTAGTCTGTAAATATTATTTCTGTAATGAAACTATTAAAATAATCCTGTTGCAATCTATTTTGCTCTGCAAAACTAAGTCTTAAATACAAGCTAGGTATGTTCTGAGCATGTTTTTCAACATTATTAGGAAAAAATAGTAGGTAAGTTGAATTAAGCCTTTAAATAGTGTTAAGAAGAGCAAATTAATTTTTATTTTATTTTTAATTTTTTTAAATAATTTTAATTGGTTAGATGATTTTTTACATTTACACTCCTTGAGCTTTACACTATTCCCACAGTGAGCATTTATTTCTAGTGGTGGCTTTGTTTCTCATGCTCAGGTCTCCCTATTTACAGTTCAGATCACAGATTTTTTGGTTCAAGGTTAAATAAATAAATAAATAAATGGTGCAATTACAAATTCAGATTTAACATGAACTCCTTGGTATGCAATTATGTTGCTCTTTCATTGTCTGAATTGCCCTTGAAAAACTGAGTGTTTCAACATCAACACCAGAAGCCATCTGAATGCAGACAATGTTGTTTCTGTTACCCTGCAACTTGAAAAGACAAATCCCACTTACTCATATCATGGTAGACAGAGGTCGCTTCTTTAGTCAAGAACAAAGGTGGTTTCCGTGGTGACATAATCTCAATTTTCATAAGTTCTTCACAACAATGTTTCCACTGGCCTGAGAGAGAAGAGAGAACAGTGATTGGAACTTAAGCACTTCAGCTTGAAAAAACTGAAGTCATTAGTTTCCTAACACAACCTGTCTCCAAAGCAATACCAAACAGTAAGCATCTACTTTTAGTTAGCAGGAATACTCAGGATGCATTTTCAGTATTTTCAACTTTTAATTAATTATGACTTTTAGCACAGAAGTTATGAGCTACCACCTTTAATTGAAGCATCCCAACAGTACTGTTATACCATAATGATTAAATATCATAATTTGCCTTCAAACCCCCAAGCCCAGTATAAATTCATCAGAAAAAAAAATCGTAACTTATCAACATACTGCAAGCAGGGTGTTACACAGCCGCTACAGTAAAGGAACAGCTTTGTCTTTCACAGAGGGTAGCTTGCCTTTTATCTGCTAGTAGACAAGGAAACCTCTTTTACTATTAATAGATTTTGACCTTAAGGAAAACAAGGCACAGTAAAATTACTTTGTTCATACCAATCATTCCAAGTTTTCCAAGCACATTAATTTTAAGAGATTTTTTAGAACCACTGAAGAAAAAAAAAAAAGGCATTTAAATGCTAAGTGACCCATTTTTTCTGAACCTAAGGAAAATGTCTTTAAAAAAATCCATGGGTATTCTATCTATAATGAATAAGTAGTAGTTCTTTTACCCCACTCCACAGCTAATTTAAAGAAGATGCCCTAGTTTTTGCTTGGTATTTTCTCTAATTGATAAAACCTCTTCTTGTAGTTCAGAGAAAAAGGAGTAGAACTACGAACTACGACACCCACATAAGAAAACCTCAGTTCACTGATTTGTTCGGTGTGGCCTCTGATTAAACACTAGTATTTCATCAATTGAGCTGGTTCTGTTTTCTGCCCTGGTGAAAATGACTATCAGGATCCAACTGTATTTTGTCAGTGACAGCATAATAACTGTCAGCTGTTCTCTGCTCTTGATAAACCAAGAGTCAAACTACTAAAGCAGAAGAAAAAGATGAAGACGCATTAATCTATATAGTTCCTATAGTTAATACATGGTGTTAAACAAGAACCATGGTATGCTACCTGAAAACCATTTTGCTGTCTTATATGTGAAGAAACTCATTTCTTGTTGTAAGAACAGCTTTGCTACAGAGGTTACCAAAGTCAGTACGACAGCTGACTGGAAAAAGAAAAAAAAAACAACAACAACAAAAAACAAACCAAACAACAACAACAAAAAAAACCACTGAAGATCTTCAAACATTTTAGCATGAAAAATAAAAAATTCAGGGTATCAGTTTACCTCACTTGCATCATGTTACAGCTGTCACCAGCTTCCAATAGGCACTGTGTATTTGCATGAATGGATCAGACTGTGGCTAGGCACATTCCCCTTGTGGCAAGGGGTACCATACCAAAACCTGAGAATTACCAGCAAAATCAATCCCTAACATAGCAAACTGCAACTTAATTGATACATAATACTGCTGGGTAAGGAATATACATGACTGGCTAAATCTGAATCCTTGCCAAGGCCCCAGATGGATCTTGCATCCTCACTACTTCCTGCTAAGGCTTCCAGACCCAAAGGAATCTCACAAAACCAGCAAACCTGATAAGGATGTGCAGGCAGAAGCAGCCCCACTCAGCTACAGTGGAGGAAGAAATAGTGAAAGTTTATTAGTCCTTTAAAAATCATCTAGAATGCTGCTAAAAGAGGCCAAATTACTTTGGATTTGTGGACACATTCTATTTCTTGTTTCCTGCAAAAAGCCAGACTGAACGTGCGGACATTGGTTTAGTTATATATTTGTCTTCCAATAGCTATGACCACCACCTAATATTATTCCAAAGAACATTTTTCTTCCCATTGCAAACAAAGGATTATGAGGCAAGTGTGATTCAAATTGTTCAAAGATTCCTTTGATGTTACATAACATCCTTCACGAAGGGCACGATGCTAGCAGTGCTTGCTTACTTACTCAGATCATAGAAGTGCTGCCAGAAAGCCTCCGTCCACTTCTGAAGCTCTTCCCTACTGTCAGTAGCAAAAAGTTGAGTCACAGCCTCTCCAGGCACAGGGTTGATAACAGAAAAGCTATTGGTTCTTCTTTTGGAGTCTTTATCCACAGCTCGAATTCTGGTTTCCTAAAAATGACAAGCTGTGGTAATGAGTTATTGCTTCAGCTCAACGCTTATAAGACTGTGGCCAGTGACAGCATAATGGGAGTATAATTTGGCTTTTTTACCTAATTCAGATTAATCTCCAGTTAAAAAGAAAAGAAAAAAAGGAGCAATGTCAGGAACTGCTTATAAAAGTATTTTCTCATATAACAATCTAAATGATACAATATATGAAAAAAAAAAAAAATGGAGCAGAATTATTGCAATTCTGAGTTATATAGAATGTACATTCTGTGTTTCCCCTCCCAGTGCTTTCACCAGCTCTTTTCATGCATCACTCTTCACAGTTGTTGAGTGAAAAACCTAGAATAACAGCAAATACCTCTTCTTCTCCAAAATCTTCATCTGGACAATCACTTTTTCACAGTTAGGTCTCATACTACACATCTTTCAATTTTTTTATTCTTACTAAATGTATGTATTTTGCTTGAATTTCAGTGACTCAGGACATTCAGGGCAAAGGCAACTGCAACAGGAAATTTATTCAAATATTCATCATGTCTCCATCTAAAGGAGCATTTGTAGAAGCTATCAAGAGTGCTAAGAAAGCTCAGGATGGCCGTAAGTTGCAGCAGGGGAGGTTCATGTTGGATACGAGGAAAAATATCTTCTCAGAAAGAGTGGTGCAGTATTGGCACAGGCTGCCCAGAGAGGCGGTGGACTCACCAGCCCTGTGCGTGTTCAGGAAACTTGTGGAGGTGGCACTTGGGGACGTGGTGGAGATGGCTCATGGTTGGAGTCGATGATCTTAGTATCATTAAGGTTGGAAAAGGCCTCTATCATTGTAAGCTATTCATACAGTTTCACTGAACAAGTTTCATAGAATCACAGAATGGCCAGGATTGGAAGGGACCTCAAGGATCATGAATCCCAACCCCCCTGCCACATGCAGGGTCACCAACCTCCCCATTTAATGCTAGACCAGGCTGCCCAGGGCCCCATCCAACCTGGCCTTGAACACCTCCAGGGATGGATGGGGCATCCACAACCTCTCTGGGCAGCCTGTTTCAGCACCTCCCCACTCTCTCTGTAAAGAACTTCCCCCTGACATCCAACCTAAATCTTCCCTCCCTCAACTTAAAACTATTTCCAACATGAAAAAAAGTTTTGCTGTAATATCAAACAAGTCCTATTTGTCATTTCAGAATTTAGTTTTGCCTTATTTAGGGTAATATAAATAATTAAAAACAATGACAAATATAGCATAAATCATTCAGAACTAATGAATCGTTACTTCAAACATTCAACTAATATCAGAAATATGCAGCAGTGCTGTTACAGCCAAGGTTGTCCCCTCTGTTCCAGGACATAGTTCAACTGATTTTGTCACCCAGACTACATACTATGAAACTAAAACTGCATCTAGTTTCTTTGTTATGCCTTTACTACCATAAAAAGTAGCACTTGCCATTGAGTGAAAAAAAAAATAGGTTTCATGTGTAAGACACTGAAAAATTTTAGAAGCCTCACAAAACACAACAGAAGTTTCTTCCAGAAAATAATTAGTCAACACTGCTGTTTGCAACATGGTGAACAAATGAGAGTAATTAACACCGCTTTGTTTACAAAAATAGAAGCAGAACACCTGCAAATATCTCTGCCTATACACTTCCACCTGGCCAAGGAAGTGAAGACCTGTTACAACACTAGCACATCCAGGAGAGCAGCGTCACCCAAATGTTGATGGGGTGATGAGTTCCAGCACCAAGGAACTGGGCAGCACCTTACTGGCCAGTGCTGGAGCCTGGCAGGAAAGGGAGCTGCCTAACATGCACTGAGAACATGCAGAGGCCTTGTGCCATGCAACGGTGTCCCCTGGCATGGGGAGCACTGTGCATTTGGAAGGAAGCTGACAGCTAAAGCCAGCACTGTGTTCAGCAGCTGGGGGGGCAGCAAATCTCATCTCCGAGTAGTTTCATGACACACCTTAAAATACAGTGGGGACAGATCAGCCACCTTCCTTATTAAAGCGTTCAACCAGATGTCAGACTTGCACTGCAGATGTCAAATAGAAACCAACAGAAATTAAGTTTATACATGAGAACCGATGGGGGTAGGCCTAGTTCCAATCGTTAGAAAACAAAAGTTATTCTCAAGAATATTCCCCAGATTTTCAGTGCATTACTTCAGTAACTGTTTGAAATCCTAACAGCTGCTTGTAGCATATCTGATGGATATGCTCATTTAAATTCTTCTGTCTAAAAATAGGAGATGAAGTAATTCATCCATAAGTGCTCTATATCCCATTAACTCAGGTAACCATAGATACCAGCAAAAAATTAAATCAAATAGATTAACATTTGACAGGTAAGAACTTCAAGCATACCATACACACAAGTTTATTTAATGATGTTTGCTCCAGGTTTTATCTCATAACTACGTTATTATTCAAAGGAGATAAATCCTCAAGCAACAATCTATACCTGATGTTTGAATATTTAAAGAGTGATACAAGATGCCATTACAATAATGGGCTGATGAATATACCAAGCTTGGGTAAATTACACCATAAACCCACTTCTTAAAAATAACAAATAAAAAGTAAACTGCCTTAAAGTACCATGTTATACATAGCACTGCTCTACATTCCCCAATCTCACAGTGGAACCAGTTCCATTACCCCTCCTGTAAAGCCCAGAACAACCAGCCAATTGGAGTAAGAAAAACCAAGCTGAACCCTGAGGAAACTCAGAGGACTCCTTTGGAGAGGCTGAGGCCAGTTGTACATCCTTACTATGTGCAAAAGATTAATTTTCTTTGAAAATGGGGAAAGTGACTTTTTCTTTTAGCGTAAGGTAAATATGAGTCTCCATTTATATCTTTCTCCTTCAAATCAAAAATTCTTTTTGCCTGATACAGCTTATCTGGAAAGCTCATCTGCTAAGCAGAGTTAAACAAAAACAAACAAAAAAAGAGAGAAACATTTTATTGCTGAGGCAGCCCCTTACTGCTGAGCCAGTTCTGAAGCACTGAGGAGCAGAGTTTATAAAGATCATTTTAAAACATCAATACAAATTGCAGTTCTTGAGAAAAATATTGAAAAGTCAAAAATCCAGTTCTGTCTATCTGTTCTAAGATGAAACAAACCAAATTATATATAACAGTCTTCCTTTGTGATTTTACTACCAAGAAACAAAGCAAGAAATAAAAACAACATTGGAAACAAAATACAATCGTTGGCTTCTGCTGTAATTTGTTGTTTCTTTTAAGGCAAGTGGGGAAGTTTGATAAATGTAAAACTATGGCTTTCTAAAATACTAGTGCAAGTCTTAATCTGCCACATTAGCTACATTTCCTTCTTTCATCTCCATTGTTTTGTGAGCTTGTATCACCATAAAACTCATGTACTTGCAGGATGGTAAGTATAATATGGAAGAGTAACGTTAGGATCACTGCGTCATCATGGCTGTCTTCAATTCAGTGCAGCAACTTAAAGGCAGGATAAGGAGGAGATGGAATTGTATGACCAACCAGCACTCTGAGGAGCAGCAGGGAGCTATAAAGCATAGCTTCCTAGTGACTAATTTGAGCATGTGTGTTACAGGGTCCACCATGTTCTATCTAGGCACTGTATCTGCTTTCCCTACCTATACCCACCATCTTTTTCAAGCAATTGCAGAAGCATGTTGAGCAGCACAATAGAAGATGCCAGATACCTCGAGGCATTTAACTCATTTTTTATTTCCCTATATATTTTCACCTGTGAAGCCTTATCTAAACCAGCCAGTGGGACATAAGTACACTACACAGAACACTGATTTTAGGTCTGCTCTTGCTTCATCAGTGCTGGAGTTGCTTGAAAGAGGTAGTGAATATTGCTTGCATTGCACGCTCCCTAAATGTTCACATTGCCAAGAACTTGATACCCTTCTGTTTCAGTCCCAAGATGAACTTCCTAGTTTCCCAAAAATACTGCAAGATCCCCTATGAAGTTATGCTGCCGGAGCCATCGCTACATTTTCCAGTGAATTTCTCTACCTGACCTAGACCAAAACACATGTTCCAACAAGAACTTAGCAACCGAAGGCTGCAAACATTTGTTCCTCATCCTGCTCACCACCACAGCTACTACAAGCACAGAGATAGCCCTGGGCCTGCTGGACCACATGGCACCAGACCAAGGATCGTGCTGGCAAAATACGCCAGGAAGGAAATCACATTAACTATGTTCTGTGCTAACCAGAAGCCATGTCCCACAATTCCTGAAGCTTCCCGCATAAAATGCACCAAGAAAGTTCTGTAATTTATGAAGAGGATATAATAGGGTATGTATTCAGGATACTGAGCAATAAGTGTGAAGTGCTGGCACATACACCACTTTGCTAAACTATCAGGTGCAGGCAAAGCCTTTATCATTCACTTCAAAGCAAAGAAAACAAAGAAACAAACAAAAAAATTAGGAATTGGTCCATTAGGAATATTCCTTGTTCAAGTTGGATTCCAGCTAATTTTCTTTGCTAGAGAAAATATAATTTCTCTACTTAGTTGTGCAATATAATATGTTATAATCACACTTAGCTGGAACAATAATAGTAACACTTGCATAATAGGAACTGCAGAACTATTATTGCTCAACAGTGGTAGCAGTGAAGTCATTTCAAGTTAAAGTAATGACTCTGGTGGTCTTAATGGCTTCTTCAAGCCTCAATTCAAAGGAAAGGGAAATAAGACTATCAGTATGATTATTTTCCAGAGTTCCTCATAAATCCATATGACTTCATTACTTTCCAGAAAGTATCTTTGAATTACATGGAGAGGATCAGCTTCACATTACAAGTAACAATACCAGATGCAACCAGAAGAGATTTTAGTTAGAACATCTAAAGTTAATTTTCAGTCTCAACTTCGATTTTGAAATTGCTGTTTCAGTAACAACACGTAGCAGATAAGCCCATACGATTAGCTTATTTTCATTTATGTCACAAGTTTCACAATAAAAGAATCAAAAAATTCACAGCCATTATATTGTTTTCCAGTATCCAAATATGTTTTAAACTGCTTTGTTTTCTTTCTGGCTTTAATTTTGAAGAAGGATTCATGGTCCTATTTTCCAGCTTGATACTTTGGCAAAATGGTGTAATACACACAATTTATGTACACTGTGTACATTACCTGTAAAGATAAACTGCCAACATACAGACAGACTCCCATTAAAAGCTGGATTTTAGAGTCTAAGTGTGCCGGTAACTTGGAGAAGCAAAACCCCTTAGGAGAATATGGTTATTTGAAAAGGAAAAGCAAAGTAAGGTTACAGACCAAAACAACAACCCCTAAGGAAAGAATAGACAGATTCTGACAGGCAATTTTCAAAAATACTTCTTTCACATTTTAAAATATGGATGTAGTCACTCTGTGTTTCACTAAACCTTACCATTTCCTTACAGATATTGTGAACAACTGGAAAATACAGTCTCAGTGAAGTTCAGCTGATACAATTAAAAGTGACTGAAGAGGTGTGCAAGTAAAACTGTTCAAGTATGTATCATGTCAAAACATTTTTTTACAAGTAAATAAGTAAATTGGAAGAAAAAAATGGCGTTGTTAGAATACAAGACACTAGGAGAATTGTGTTTTTAATTAAGGAATCAATTTAAATCTTAGCACATGAAATGTTAGCGCACGAAAGCAGGTTACGTTGTTATCTCTAGCTTAAATGTTTTGTTAATATACAAGAATTACTCAAGGTGGAAATGCAGTCATATTTTTAAGAAACTTTAAAGCCAGCAAGAGCTGACACTGCTGTTGTCAGAAGCAGTTCTTTGTTACTTTATGGCCCTATACATCACCGGTCTCACCCTACCTCCTTCCTTGTACCACATGAGCACTCGTGTGGTCATGTAGGGATCTAGATGAAAGACTGCATTAAGGAAAAGCATGGTTGAAGCCAGCCATCCTCCTAATTTTAACTCACTTCAGTTTCCTAATCCAGCTCATCAGTCAGCTGCCCTGCCCTACTGCTTGCCCAGCATGAAGCAGCACAGCAGCCAGAGCAAGCGACTGGGTGGGGGGAATGCTTCTTTTCAAGCTAGTACTGGCATCAAGTGCACAGAAGTACAACACCAGAATCCAGATCAACCCATGCTTAACACAGTTTCCAAATGTTTCTGTCTGCGTATGAAAGATGAACCCAGCTAGGCCAATTGCAAACAACATTAAATTCCTCTGCTCATCCTTATGTGATTCTAACTCTTGATGAGTGTGCAAAAACAGATTTTAAAAGCATCTGTTCACTCTAATGCTCTCCATTCTAGAAGGTCCTTCCAATAACATTCAGAAATTGAACACATAAATAGTTGTTTAAAATTAAATACTTAATGCATTTTTAGTCAAATAGAAGAATTTTAATGTTAAGTTTTAAATCCAGACTTTGCCTATCAGACTATGAAAAACAAAAGTAATACCATCAGAGAGAACAGAACTTCCAAAGTTACTGTGCCCTGTACAAAACCAGTATTAAGAAAAGCAGCTTATTTTAAGACACTAAAATATTTTGAGCAATTTTCCAATTCTCCCTCTAATTAAGACTGTGGCAGAATAAAATAACAAAAAGCTTTTGTTAAAATTTCACCTTGCTGAGGACAAAAGCCTCCTGGAACGTTGCTAAAGCACTGCAGGGAATAGAACAGTCATATAAGAAGTCACGTTTTTCCTAAAGAAAACAACATCCTTTTTACCTATATGTTAACCAGTTTAGTGCAACAGAAGGAACTTACATCTGCTGCTAAGAAATGTAACACCCTTGCAAAAAAATTTCAGTGACTGGAAATTTTGCTGCAGCATTTCCCAGTGACACACTACCTACAGAGCTTTTTGCATACTAGCAGCTTAGAGCCCAAATGTATATGTCTTAAAACAAAAATAACCTCCCTCGGAATAATAATTAAGAACAAAAACAAACGCCAAAACACAAGCAAGCAGAAAAACCTACACATATGATCACTTTTACCTTATTGATGGAAACTGTCAATACTGGCTCCACTTTAGCCTCAATTTCTTCTGGTGAGTAATAACAAGAGAGCTTTCCACCTCTCAGTACGCAATACAGTCTCCTCCAGCTGGTTAGATTTCCTATCATTTGCTAAAGGGAAGAAGTAGTCAGAAATTGCCAGACACAAACTACATATTAAGAGCGCATTGTGAGGTATACACCAATCAGCCCACGTGATCAGAACTTCTCCACACTGAATCAATAAAGAAAGACCTTCTGTTGCAGAACACTTCAGAATCAGTGTTTTTTGAAATGTTAACAATACTTTTAAATGTCTTTTGACATTTTACAGTTTTCCCAGATTCATTGTCTTATGACGCAATACAGAATCTGCCTTTTCACGCAGAACAAAGTGTAGAACAAGTGTCTACAATAAGGACAAAACCCACCTTTATTAGCTACATTAATTAAACAACAGAAAAAATAAAAAGAGTATTTAACATTGGAAGCATGTGGTACATTCAAAGATATTTGTCCAGAATCTCCATGTTCTCAAAATAATTTTCTGAACAGCATTCATAAACACATTTTAATTTCATGATGAGAACAAAGCGTACAATGTAGCACTCCTGCCTGGTGGCCCTTCAGCCCTCTGCTCACACCTTCTTGTTTGCTTAGTTGTGCAATGAATCGAAATAGAGAAGCAAACTGAGTTCACAGTAATTGCTTTTGGAGGAATGAGTTTAACTGCTGCTCCCCACTCAGTTCACCATGCTAAGACAGTGAGTGGTATGTATGAGGGTAAGAGCCAAGAGACCGTTAGGATTGCTGCTATTAAGTACCAGGCTAAACAGATTCTGAAACAACACAATCTATATCTAGCAGCCCACATAGTTTTATTGATAAGCACACCAAGAAAACATTTATTTATTGATTCTTAGCTACTGAAGATACTGTTTGTAAACAGTAACTATGAGATGTCCTCCCTCGCTCTAGGCAGAACAGGTAAGAAGAAACCACTCTGGGAAAAACAGAAATGTTTTAACAGTGGACTGTTGGTGTCTGCTACCAGAAGAGCATCTAAACACAAGCAAGACTTTTTTTTACCTGTTGATTCAGAAATCCTGTCATCATATCCCTAGCCATGCAGGAAGGCTGAGCAACTAAACGGCAGCACATGTTTCCATACAGGGGGAGCCAAAAATAAGATTCCTCTGGGGGAAAAGACCAGACAGGAAAAAAAAAAGAAAAAAGAAAGGAAGAAAGAAAGAAAGAGAGGTTAAAAAAAAAAAAAAAAAAAAAGGCAGAGTTTTAAATACAGTTTAGCTTTTAATACTGATCTTTACTTTCAGATCATGAATATGAGTAAGCATTCTTTATATGTAAGGAAAGAGATCTTGTCCTGTAGGATTAAAGTAAAACTGATTCTTAGTTTTCAGTAAGTTTTTTATTAAAAATCATCAGAAGTTCTAAAAGAATTAAAATAAAAACAAATTGTTCTGCAAGAACAAGTTATTCTTACAAAAAAAAAAAAAAAAAAAAAAACCAACCTCTAAATCTCGCTTCACAGATAAAACCACTTTGGAAGATAATCACTTTGGCTACCTTATCTAAGTAGGATCCTTAAGCCCTTCCCATCATGGCACATGACTTCTTATATGTAAGCATTTTGCTTCAGATTGGTTTTTAAGACTTAGGATTTATAGCTGTCTTCTCTTGCACACTAGAAAAGCATTCATGATTCCAAGGAATTAGCAAAAAACTGCTCAGCTTTGCCATGTAAAAAACACGCTCTTCTATAATTAGAAGCAGGTAATACAACATACCATTGACATTACTCTGTCTTTAGTCATGGTTTAGAAATGCTTGTAATGAAATAAAATATCCAGGTATGTCATTCCTCACCAGAGTGAGTTATGCAAATTAATGAAAGAAAACAAAAATTTGAAGTAGAAAATAGTATCAAAGATACACAGAATTATTCTAACCTGTTGAGAAACAAATGCCCCATAAATCTTCAAATCTGTACTTATTCAGAATAATGAAGCGTAAATAATTAAATTTTCTTTTCAGGTCAAGTTTACCCATGTAAAAAAATGAAGTTACCAGAAGTGAGTGAAATACAAACTCGCACGTCTTAATTTAACAGGGTGGATTGAAGGGTGGATTGCAGGAAGGACGATAGTTTTGGAAAACACGGATGAAGTACAAAGAACTGTACTTGTGTTTCTTGAAATATCACCTTCAGTTGCAGCATAATCACCAAGTTAGCATCTGGTCAACTACTACCAGCAACCTGTGCTCTCCCAGAGCTGAAATACAGCGATCAAGGCAAATCACAAGCACACGTTTTTGTCCTGTGTCTAGCTCAAATTAAGTTGCTTTTTTTTTTTTTTTTTTAATACACTTTTGTTCTGACTACAGAGGCAAAAGCTGTTCTTTGCTCCAATACCCTCCCTTAGTTGTGAGAAAGGGGGAAATAATTTGTATATATGGGTACAACTCACTTAAGATCAAGATGCAAATAACAGAAGAAACTCCCAAATGAATTAAATTTTCCTCTGGACTTGAAATTGTACTCAACTTATAGTTTATTCAGCTGTGTATAGATGCTTGTTTTAGAACAGTTAAATATTTTGTTTAAGTTGTTCTATATTAAGTATCAAGAAAAATAATCTCTTTAAACTCTTTAGTTTACAAGAGAAATGCAAAATGTTACTGGGTTTTTATTTCCTTAAATTGGTACCATATGTACTTACCATTTCCTGTAATGGTAAGGTTGTGGGTCCTGAAACTGTCCTTGGCACTCTCCAGCCCCAAAGTGGTATATGCTAGCAAACTGTACTTTGCTCCACTAAATGTGAAAGAAAAGGCACATTTTAAGTCATTTCTGCTTTGTAGTGCATGGACAGTAATTAGAGGGAGCCTATGGATGCCCGAGATAACACATCTGCTTACAGGGACATGCCAGGATGAAATGCAGCAGCTGTCCATGGCCACAGGCTGCCACCCCCAGCCCCTTCCCACAGAACTGCTCCCCAGCATGCTCAGCTGATTCCCACATCCTCACCTCCTGCCTCCACCCTGTGCAGCACCTCCGGTTCCCTCCTACCCCATGACTTGCAGGCCAACGCCACAGGGCCCCATCAGCTCAGTTCCCCAGCTATCTATCTGCCACTGGCAACCCCAGACATAAGGCCTGTGCTTTCCAAGCCTCCTGCAGCCCAAGGACACTAAAAGCATCTCTCTACTCAAACACCAAGTAATTTTGGTAGTTTTTGCAGCTTTTGACCCTAGGCCTAACTCAAAAATGAGTGCAAAAATGTATACTGTAGGCCACAGAAAAACAGATGATGAACTTGATCTGAAAGCACAAGGTTCAAAATTAAAATCTTTATACTGCTTTTCCAGGCTGCACTGTTCTTTTGCTTTGACAATAGACTTCATAAAAGTTGGTTACACACACACACACACACTTATACAGAGTAGTATCCAATAGTTTGTTTCTTTGCATATAGAAAAAGAAGTCTGTAGAAATCCTACAGCCAGTTTTGCAGCACAAAGGACTCTTTCACTTATTGTGCTTACAGGTATCACAGTGTTGTATCTTTGGTTTAGATTTTGCCTAGGGGGGAAAAAAAGCTGGAAAAAAATCACATTTGCAATTCAGCACAGTGCATGTGGAATGCAGCTCTTGGAATAAACTAGTATAAATTTGGTACATGTTTAACCTTTTTCCCCAAATACTCTTAAGACAAAGTAACAGATTTACAGTCTAGCAATGCAGTAAGAATTCCACCTGGCTAATGGCAGTTTAAACAAAGTTCACACGAAAACAAACCACTCAGAATCACTAATTGCTTTCTCTAACAGAATTGAGCATAAAATCCTTTAAAAACCTTCTGTACAGCATAAGATATCTTAGTGGTATAAAAGATGTTAAGACACTACTGAATTGACATCACTAGAAAATAAATACTAATATTTTCCAAGTGTTAATTTTTCTAATAGCAGAGGGCACACGGTTTTAAAATCAGATGCCTATCCAGCTCTGACCCTAATGAGAGAGAGGAGACAGAAGATTAGCAGGGAGGTCTGTTACACATCGAATTCAAAGCAATAAATAGAAAAGTAAATATGATATAGCACTTTGGGCAAAGAACCACCTCTATAAAACATTTAGAGAGGAATGTGAACAAAAACTCATCAACATTTGTATATATTCCCTGTAGACCATTCCCTAACAAAAGATTCCCCGCTGATGATGTTTTGCTATTCAGTTAAGCATTACCACTCTATTTAAATGGTACAGAGTAGTTCAGTTTCTTCTCACGGATAAAACTTCTGTGCTGATTTAGTTATTTTTTCTAAAGCATGACTAATTACCACAACAACCTTGCCAAGAAAACAGCTACTTCACTTTTAAAATATGCTTCCCAGTAATACTTTCTTTCTAAAACAGAACAGTCATCCCTTTTAGCCAACTTCAATATAATTTAGAAAAGTTATCTGCAACTATATTTTAAATTTAACAAGCTAATCAGGATTACTGAGTATGTTTTGCCCGTACATGTGACAGAATTAGCTGACTGCCTTAAATGGCAGCTTCTCTGAATAACAAAGAACAATCTGCCCACTGCATCTCATACAGCCTGGCGAAGGCTCACAGTTCGACCTGTGGCCCATCAAGTGGCAGGAGCACTGATGTTGGAATGCAGACACTGGGGGGAAATGTAACTGTCTCACCCCTCCTATTTGGATTCATACAGCTCAGATTCCAGAACCTGTTCCTGAATATTAAAGTTAGAAATCCCTATCTTATTTCAGTCATACAGATGCACAGAGTGGAGGTTGTGCAAGACAAAACACCTAATACACGTAGCTTCCAGTTGCATCTTATATAATAAAAGGTAAAAACAAAAATAATCATCAGGTCCTAAAAAGAACCCAGCAATAAAAATGAGGCCACTAGATTAGAATATGTACTTCTAGCAAAATATCAATGTGAATTTCCAAACATAGGATACAGAAGCCATATCTCCAGCTCAGCAGAGGGCAAATACATGAAAAGCACCAGCAGCAAGTCCCCACATAGGCCAGTGCTGCCAGCTAACAGAACATGCACATCTCCTAAGTGCAAATTCTGGAAATCAGTACTATACCTGCACCAAATGTCCTTCTCCTATGACAAATGCAATAATAATAATAACAACAGAAAAAATAAAGTGGGCAAAAGACTGCATAAAAAATGAAAAAAGATAATTAAGAGCAGACAGGGTATCAGTATAACTGATATTAACAAATAAAGCAGCCATTCAAAACAGTTTGTCATTGAGCTTTTATGAGAAGTTACGAGGCTGACAGGGAGCCTTCTAACTTCTAAGCTAAGAAATTTGGCACGGGAAGATCACAGAATTTCTGGAAAAGGAACAACTTCATCCCACGTGTGCTCTGAGAGAAAACAGCTGATACAAATGAAATCTACACAGGAAAAGTGTTCATAAAATACAGCAAGTTCCCTTTTTATTGTTGTGGTTTAATTTCACAGACTGGACTGGTATAATTCTTTGAGAACACTTGAAAGATGCAATCTCCTCACCTCTAAGGGCTACATTACCATGGTCTTAATAATATAAATCTCAAGGGGAGGCTATATTAAAAAAAAAAAAAAAAAAGACAACTTATTTTCAGCCTGTAGTAAGACATTTGTTCCCAATAATCTTTTTTAATCACCTAGCAAAGCCATTAGTAAACACATCACTAGTAATTCAATTTTGGTAAGAAATTAACAGCCACAGTGAGATGGTGACTTATGGTAGGGGAAAAAAAATTACCTTCAAGACGGAAGAAAGTAAAATACAAAAATTACAGTTGAGAAACCTAGAGCAAAATCCAAGCGAGGAGGCAATAGTGAGGAGTGCCTACTGATTCTTCTTCCTTAAAAGACAGATGATCTATATTCAAGTGAGCATGGCCAAAAATAAGCCTGTGGTTATGTCTGAAGCCAACTGTACCTAATGGCAGCATGTCATCAGCCAGCCAGAGCTTGAGGGAAGCATATCCACCTGACATGATGCATATTGAAAAACACTGTCATTAGGTGGAAAGTACTCAAATGTTAGCAGTAAAACTGCCTTGCTCTGTGGCGAAGCATCTTGGATGTGTGTTTTTCATTGAAACACTAGTATTAGTGTATAGCAATATTAGCTCAACAAAGATAAACTATGATTTAACGTTTCCTTTTATAATCCAGGCAAACAGACATACAAAACAAGACTTAAGACTTTCTCAAAATGTGGCAAAAATGATACATAGATTGTCTACGGCTGAGCCATCAGGGAAAAAAAAAAAAAAAAAAGAAAAGAAAGCAATATTTAAAGTAACTTAAGTAATATTTACTTTCTTAAAGAAAAAAATTAAAAAAATCAATTTTGCAGTAGTTACAATTTAGGTACTTGGGCTGCTTAAATCACAATGAAAGTAGCTGGGAAATATTAGTAGGCAGTTCACTTCATTAAAAATACATGAAAGACTTAAGATCATTTTTAAAAGGAAACACAGGTGAATTACTGAGAAAAGCATTTATTTCTATGAAAATGGAAAATCATAAGTCATTTCAAAATGTTCTGTGCTGAAGTCAATTAAGGAAACTCCTGTTAAGCAGCAAGTAATTGTAAAATGCCCCAGCCAGTCCAGAGACTTGCTGAAAAGCCACAAAAGAGAACAGCCCCCATGTACACAACACAGCACAACAGCCCTATCAACTTCATTAGGGGAAATGCTGTGAGAGAGGCTTCCCCTGCCCACGCGCCTGTTTGTTACTTCACAGCACCTTTTAGAAACCTCTGCCATTCTGAAAAGCAAAACTGCCTGGGTGAAAAATTGATACATGAAGTGAATGGGATAGGGGAAGAGGAGGGGTAGGGAGAGGGCCACAGACACATCACATAAGCTTGATTTTCTCCAGAGATCAAACTGAAGTATTCCTGAGTTGCAAATAACAGTGGATTTACCGGCTGTGTAGAAGAAAGATAGTCTACTCATGTGTTTAAAGATCAGAACTGGGCCCCAAGGCTGAGCTACATAGCTGGAATTCACACCTACTTTCTCATTTCCTATTAAAAATGTAAATTCTTTTCCACCTGGTTAAGTACATAAATAATCATGTTCTTGGCAATTTTCCAAATATTGACAACGTATTTGGGCTATTTCTATTAAAAAGTACAGTGAAACCAGAATACCCATATGTGTATCTTACTGGATGACTGGGTCAGAGAGCAAAATGGAGTCAGTGTCGTCCTCTTCCAGCGTAGCTTTGAGTTTCTTCCCTGTAGCTTTGCTGAGGGATGTTTTAAGCTTCTTCACTAGTTTCTTAGGGGTGTTTGCTACATATAAAGACTCCTCTGTACAGCAACTATACACTTCAACCTTCACCTGGAAATCTGGTCCTGCTTCATCACTGAAGGAGGTGGGGAGAAAGTTTCACAGCATTTGTTAGTGAATTGAGCACCTAGCCAAGGAATGCTGTTGCTACAATATACTTATTAAATAACATGCATTGCTAATCAAGGGAAGGAATTACATCAGATTCAGGGAAAGACATACATTAAAATGGCATTAAAGACTAGAGTACACAGTGGTAATTTAGTGTTGAAGTCATGAGATGGATGTTATAATTAAACCATAAACAATTGCAAACAGGAAATTCAACGTTTAGGTTAAAAACTGGAGAAAAAACCCACACCGCTCATGTGATGGAAATACACAGGCAAGACATGTAAGCACACTTCAATCTGCCCTCTACTGTTATGCAGAAATAACACGACTGAAAACCTATCTGATCCCAAATCAGATTGAACTTCGCACCCACCCCCTTTGTATTAGTAGAAAAGTAAATCCTCCCTCACTCACAAGCAACAAATTTGTCATTCATAGTATCTATCTATCTGCTGCTGCGTTCTTCTGCCCACTCCCTGTTGTCTCTTTTCCGTTCTACCAGCTCTCAACGTTCTCGAGCTGAGTCATCAAACTAGAAGCCTAACCTCATCTTTCTGGTACAAATCCTTTGCTACATATTCATAAGGAAATTATCCCAAAGGCTTTTAAAGAATTTCTTCTTTATCTGTGGGCACACAAGGGAATTTTGGTGCTTTTTCTGCATTATTTTACAGAAAATCATAGTGGTAAATTCTCCAAGAACAGATGTATGTTTCAAGAAGCAGATTTAAATTCTTGCCCTTACTCTAAACTTGAGCAAGTGTTAAGAAAGAAAGTTTGATTTACAGATCCATGCTCTCTCAACCACTTGCTTTTTAAGATCTTGATTTAAAGTTTTCAGTAGTTCTAGATTTCCAGTCAGTCTTCCTCAGGAGACTGAATCTAAATTGCTAATATAAAAAATAAAGCAGCACACACACACACATAAAAAAAACAACCAACACAACCCTCACAGAAATAATAAAGTGTCTCTCAAGACTCTTAAAAATTTATAAAGCAACAGAAAAGTATATGTGAACACCTTTCTATTCTTTTCTAGGTTATATTTAAAGATAAGTGAATAATTTCCTGTCTACTATTTTTCAACTATGAGGGTTGTAGCTGTAGCATATGCTCATATGAGCATAACAGAACATGAAGTGTGGAAGATAAATGTCTGATTTCAAGAGAACTGTGACTCTGGGGAACATCAAAAGAGACCATAGCCTGCTCTACAGAGTAATAGTTAAAACACTGGGTTACACCCATGCCTACAGAAGTGCATTTTTATAGTGGTTCCAGTTTTTAGCATTGGTGTACTTTTGTCCTTGTAGCTGATCTCTTTATTTAAAGTAAAATGTTTCGGCATGGCAAAAAAAAAAAAAGAAAGAAATAGTTAAATGGCATATCTACCACCGTGATCATTGTGTACATAAAAAAAAAACCCACAACCTTCCAGAGAGGGATCCACCAACCACTGAAATCAACAGAAATGTTACAGATTCCTTTTGCCCACAGAAAAATTTAGAGGACTCAGCTAATCATATTCATAATCATACCCACTTTCAAAAGAAAACAGGGATATTTGTACTGCATGCAACACAGATACATTATACTCACAATATGGTTACGTTTTCAAAACAGATATCTGTTATTGCTTTATCCACAATTGCCACCTCTGTATCAAAAACCTCAGCTCCCATTCTGAACAAACAAAACACTGCATAGCGCTGTGATTCTGGGGAGAGCCAAAGAAATGCTTTATTAGCATATTACACATCACAATACTTAACGCCCCCAATAAACAACATAGAAGGACTGGTAATTTGAGCCTCTAAGGAACTGCACTGAAATGATTCCCACCCTAAATTTTACGTTATAGGATTTTATGGCAATTGAACTTCCAAAGCTAGTGCATAGGTTCAACATTCACACACCTACCCCCACTCAACTTCTTTTTTTTTTTTTTTTTTTGCAAGATAACCTGTGGCAGTTTGTGCTAACAGCATCAGAAATGTTAGTAGAAATGTAATTTTGTTTAATAAAGTTGATTTAAGGCAAAAAGAGAATTGATCCAACATCTATATCACTTTATGAATGTACTATATAGGATTAGACCATTTTGCCAGCCTTAGCCCCTCTGACCCTATTGAAAATCAAACTGAAATCAATGCCAGGTGACAGCTGGAACAGATTTAGGGTTAATCTCCATGACATAGCAAAATGCATGTACTTGAAGACTATCCAATAATCCACTCAAAAGCAATAGAGAACTTTCATTTAAATTTCTCACTAGAAACAGCCTTCAATATTACTCTCCTGAGCATAGACGAGAGAGAGAACATCATGTTTAATTGGAAGTTTCTCAGCTATTTAGTTAATAATGTTATCCTTACTCTTCCTCTGGAGGTTCACCTCTGGAAAAGCGAGATTTTAAACATACAGCCATATGACTTTGAACTTTCTCAACTTGCTACAGTCGACAACGTCAAGTTAAGAGCTACCATGCAACACAGTAAAACACAGATCTACTGAAAAATCAAAAAAAACAGATTTAGATCAGTACGGACTTCTCCATCCAGTTTTCACTTTACAGGCTTAACTAATTGCTTATCATAGCAGTTCATTAGATCTTACGTACTTTCTTTATTGTTGAAGTGATCAGAACCTTTCCACATTAATGGTATTTGAATATCTAAAGGGGAAAAAACAGGGAAATTAAGTTATAGGTAATATTGTACAACAGAGTTCAAAATTAAATACAAAATATTTTTCTTTTCATGTTGATCTGGAGGCAATAGGGCTGTCTACAATGTTCATCTACAATGAACAGTAGAACTATTTCAGTTTTATTACCAATGTCATATTCATCAATAATTTCTATTTGAAATGTCATTTTCTTTTATAAATTGTGCTAGAACAAAGACTTCTTTAAATCTCATTTGAAAGGACCTAAAAGTAACATTTCAGAGTGGCTGTTTAACACAGTTATGAGAGGTATTTTAGTCCATGATCGTGCAAAGACATAAGCTGAAACTCTGCTCGTCTGGTGCTGGAAACCACTCATCCAACTGCCAGAAGAAAAACTTCCTGTTTTAATGGAAAGATTGAGATACTTGTATTGCAAACACTGAAGTCTTGTTTTACTAACCACGGAGAAAATATTATTTGTAATCATGTTCCTAGTTAGAATTGTCTTATTGACATAAAAAGACTGCAGTTTGTTTGTTTACATAAAAAATATCTGTCTACATCAGGATCATAGTAGAGAAGCAGTTGCAGAACCATTAATTTAAATCATCTGTCACTTTAACATTAGGAAAGTATCTTCTTCAACAAGCTTTCCAATTTACCTACCCACTCCTGTACAGAATGGTTTTAAACTGAGACAGGGGAGGTTTAGGTTAGATATTAGGAGGAAGTTTTTCCATACAGAGAGTGGTGATGCACTGGAACAGGTCGCCCGAGGAGGCTGTGGATGCCCCATCCCTGGAAGCATTCAAGGCCAGGCTGGATGTGGCTCTGGGCAGCCTGTTCTGGTCGTTGGTGACCCTGCACATAGCAGGGGGTTGAAACTAGGTGATCTTTGAGGTCCTTTTCAATCCAGGCCATTCTGTGGTTCTATGATATTTTTCCCCAGCTTTGAGGGCACAAGTTTAGACAAAGTTCTTTACTGGTCCCTTCTTGAAAGATAAATCCAAAGCTGGTTCTCAAATACACAGTGCTGTACAAAAGCACATGCAATATATTAAATGACACAGGATGGCAGCAGTGAACAGCAATACCTCAGTTGTCCACTGATAAAAATCTTTAATATTGTTATGCGGGAGCTTTGCTGACTCCTGTGTTTATCTTCACAGAAGGCGAATGGAAAAATCCACATACAGTATGCAAAACAGTAGTGCTATTTTGGCAACGGATTATTTGTCAGGTATTCCTGCTGGGTTTTATGCACACAACTAGTTGACTTAAGTAAAGCTACATAAATACAGTCCTTCTATTTCATAAGTAATATTAAATAAAATGTTTTAATTTAAGCTAATTTTGAATATATTATGAACATCTCATTATAGATTAAATTTCAATTATGAAACTTACAAACACATCTAATTTTGAAAATGTTCACAGTATCTAATGACTTTTCAACAATGAACTGTTAGTATGCAGCATTAGACTGCCACAGCTCCCTAGAAACAAAACAAAAAACCCCAAAAATGCATCACCCTGTTCTGAAACTGCCTTTCTAAAGATGCAAAGCCTTTAAATACTTTTAGAATAAGGATATAGATAAAAAAATGCTTTCCTTAAAACAGATGCAGAAGCCTCTCAAACTCCACATACATATACGTAGATGTAAAAAATATAAATATACGTCAGAGAAAAAGTACTGAACTTTTCCTTCCTGAAACATAAAAGGTCTTAAATTTGCATAAATGTGTCAGTAAAGAACTGCAAGAAAAAACATTTTGCATCCTTGTTTATAGCAAACCTCAAATGACAATTTTAAGGCACTTGATAGCTCTTGTTAACAGAGCAATAGAGTAAACATGACTTTTTTATGCTGCACTCAATATTACACTAACTGAAAAATCTACACCTTAATGAAAAAGCCACCAGCATGTAGGTAGACAATTGCACCTACAAGTTTCAAATGATACTTGTAAATCAATTTTCAATTCATTCTTGGATTGAAAAAGCTGCAATTTATCAAAAACAGCAATCAATTTTCACACTTCTTAATTTCAGTTACAATTAGCTGTAAAGCCCCATGGATTAAAATTGGATACATTCAAGCACTACAGTTAATTACTCTTAAAGAGAATGATTCCTTTTGACATTCATTAGAACTCCATGGAATAACTTTAAATTACGATTATGCTTTTTGATCAACATTGAATGGGTTGTCTTTTGACAAAGTAAATGATTGGTAACACAAACGTCATAATTTATTCACAGACATGGGGGATAAATATGAAAATTTTAGTCTTAGGGAATGTATTCCAGTTAGTATCTGACATACTGGTAGTTGCTTCCTGTAAAGTACTCTCTTCAGTGCTCTTGCAAAGTCGCTCCTGACCTTTTGGTGCTGGCCACATGATCACTCTTTGTTTTGGTAACAGCCTAAGCTTCTAACCTACGCTAGCCATGGGACAATAATATACGCAGATGGATTACTTTCCCCTAAAAAAAAAAAATCTATTCTCTATCATCAATTCTCAAATTTCATGCCCAGACACATTATTACCACTAACGCCTCATCTCTAACCTCTCCCAACTAATTCAGTCCTGACACCTTACAATTCAAGCTGTTTGTGCTCACAACTGCTTTCTCAGCAGGGCAGGCACACAAACATGCATGTGTGCTTTCTGAATGTGCTGGGCAGCTCCAATTGCAAATCCATGGAGGGCCACTACACGAAAGAGAAGAAGTGCAGTATGTTCAATTTCCTACACAAATAATGGGAAAGACAGGGAATGATGAATTATGGAACATTACAGCTGTTGAAGCAGACAGGACCTGATCTGGCATGCTCACCAGACACAAGATGAAGAGCATAAGACAACGCAGGGAGGAAGCAGGGAGGTGTGTGTGCCATGCCAGGATCTCCCAGCTGGAAATCGTGCCCTTGCCAAACGCACAATCCCTTCTCACATACCCCAGTTCTCTGCTTTCCAGACACAGAGTGGAAAACAAGGAGTTAACAGATGATCTTTAAAAGACATAAATCTCTAAGCAGAAACCACATAGGCTTCTCTGATGTAAGCTGTACCTGACCAGGGTCCCTGACATGTGAAGAGGGATGAGGCATGGCAGCATCCCAGCACTCACAGACTCAAGCTCAGAAAAAGATAGCTGATACTCTTCACCACGATCCTCAGGATCACAATCTCCAATTTGAGGACCACCATATTAGAAACACAACAAAATAATTAAAAGATCACAGATAACAGCAAGTACCCTCTTGTACCATCAAAACTAGCTAAATATTTCGCTTCCAAACAATTATGTAATTCTGATGTTCTGAAGATAACAGAAGTGTATTATCTTAAAAGCCTTCACAGCAGATAACTATAAATCGAGTGACAGGTACAACCACAGCACAGAAAGGCAGACAGATGCTTTCATCCTACTACCATACGGAAGACAGATAGATCTACACTCTGCAACAGCTGTGCTGGCAGAAAACATTACTGTACCATGTGATCATCACTCTTCTTCCACTAGAGGTTACCTTTCTTAAAGATATGTCAAAACATGCAGAATTAACTTAAACACTTCAAAGTAGGAAGCCCTTCTACACTGTTTTATCTTCAATGCAGCAGGTCATGGAGCACAAACAAATCCGTTAGCCAAGCTACCAGAGCAAACGTAATGAGTAACTACAGGTATGTTGAGCACAGCACAGATAAACAAAGTGATAAACTCATAGTGCAGAAGTATGTTAACAGGCTAGGAAATTGTATACCATCCTGCCAGAAATCACTAGTAAATGTTCTTTATTTGCATTGAAGCCATACTGCTGTACATTTACTGTAGAAGTTACCCACACTAACTAAAGAATATTTGCATAGTGGCTACAATTTTGTCCTCAGTTCATTAGGTCGTTACAAATTTGGGGCTGGGGAGAGCAGTTTGGCACATTCAGTTCATTTACACTTAGCTTTGAAATGTATTCAGTGTTTAATGATTGAAAATAAAAAAGCGCTTCCCACTGTGAAAGTCCTGACAGAAAACTAGAAATGTGAGGTAGGATCTTTATAAGCAAGTCTGTGACTTCAAAGCATAAGACACCTTCAAGCACAAAAGGATTTATGTCCCCAGAATCACAATATAACTTTAAAAAAAAATCATCATGTTTGTGTAATTTTTTACTACAAGATACTACCCTGCCAATTGGCTGCTATAGTGAAGCGACAACCCAGCCACTTACCTGAGAGAGCAACTTTTGCTCTACATGCCATCCTGTCCTTTGTCCCAGAGTCTGACAACCTGCCAAAATAGGAAAAAAAAAAAAAAGAAAAAAAAAAAGTCTGAGATCTGTGCATTTAGGTCTCTGTAACTCAGCCTTTTAAACATTAAAAAACATCAGGGGTACCATAATAGCTCATTTCAAAGAATTTTCTTTAAAGTTAAATTCAGTCTCTCTGGTTTAAGATACGAATCATTAGATTCTCGAAGATAATACGGAAGGAAGGTACACCATCAATTTTCTTAATGCCCTAGAAGATTTTATTCCAAAGCTTATTTAACCTGAGCATTAAAAGTTGATTCATCTTTGATGTCTTTTCCAGCTCCAACAGAATCAAATACATTATTAACTATTCTCCTTCTGTACACACGAACGAACAAGCAGCTTCATTTATTGGTTCTATTGTTGGTTACAGAGAAATGTGTCCTCCTCTATTAACAGAGACCAATTACAAAACGTTGTGTTGTTAGAATTGTGATTTTACATGCAGGCTAGAATGGCTAGAGTATAAATCTCAGCCTGAACCTTAAATTGAATCAAAATCATCTATTGATAATGACTAACAGAAATTCTTCTGTCTGCCACTGCTCAAAGTGCCTAACCAAATAAGGTTCTAATCACTACCTGTATCACGACTTCTTCAGAAATAACAGATTGTAGACATAAGTAAGGACAGTATTTACTTGAAATCCCAGAATCCAGAATTTTGTCTCTCAGACATCATCATTTTCTCTGGATTAAGTTTTAATAAAATTCCAGTACTCTATAAGTACAAAAGAAAGAACTGCAAGTGTACTATCAAGTGCACAATCAAAGATAAGATCTAAATGATAGACAAATAACCCTATGACATGTATCTGTTCTAATGATCTTTGCTGACAACTGAAAGGACCCTGTAAAGACACAGCTCTAAGCTGAGCAAATTAAACAACACAGCCAACTTTAAGAAAACTCCACCAGGATTGTTTAGACTGGAGGAGGCTCAGGGGAGACCTTATTGCCCTCCAAACTACCTGAAAGGAGATTGCTGCAAAGTGGAGGTTGGCCTCTTTTCCCAAGTAGTGACTGGACAAGAGGGAACGGCCTTGAACTGTGCCAGGGGAGGTTCAGGATAGATAATAGGAAAAACTTCTCTGAAAGAGTGGTCAGGCTCTGGGACAGGCTGCCCTCGAGGGTGATGGAGTCACTGCCCCCAGAGGCACTTGAGAACCATGTAGATGTGCTACTAAGGGACATGGTTTAGTGGGCAATATTGGTGGTAGGTGGATGGTTGGACAGGATGGATGATCTTGGAAGTCTTTTCCAAACTAAATGATTCTAAGTATCTGTGCCGTGTTATAGACATATGCCATCCTGTGGTCACAGACATCAAAGACCAAGAGTTGTGTAAATCAGCAGCACACATATATATTCCATGTCACTCCATCATTAAAAATATAAATAAAAGACAAATCACTATAAAGATCATCACTTCATAAGAAAAAGCAACACAACTGCAATATTTATACAAATTACAATGCTAGCTTTCAAAATCAGCTTTCATGACCATAGCTGACAGTCAGAAAATGCAATTCTCTCCTTTAATAAATTTCTTCTCTAATAAACATTTCTGAAAGCAAGAAACTAGCAGGTTATTCCTACAGATACAATTCACTGGAGCTAAGCATGTACTTGAGGAGTTTCTACACTGAACTGCAGTACAGTTATTTCATTAAAGCAATAACCTGAATGCAGTTGTGTCTCTGCTCCATGATTCATAACGTTGCCTCCAAGATCTATTCCATTGGGGAAAAAATAAAAAACTTATCCAAATAAACAGTGTATACTTTAGTTCATTCAATAAATATAACATGAGAATATTGGTAATTAAACAGACTTTTCTTAGTATTCATGAAGTTGTATTCTTTTACTCTTTTGATGTAGTTAACAAAGTGGCCAGCAGAGGGTACCAATTAGCCGTGATAATTCTGTCATTAAAGAGACCTTAAGAATAGAAAGAACAAAAAATAGAGGCATGTATATTGATTGGGATAATTTTGTCTTGTTCCTTAAGAATAGGTTAGACACCTTTTTATATGCTAAAGATAATTAAGAAAACATGTCTATGACATTAGCTGATATTCATAAGCTGAATTTGCTTAATGTTAATGATAAAATCCGTCTAGAAAAAGACGACTTGTATTTAATTTTCTAAAATAAAAGGAAGATAGTGGAATGGTCTTATAAAGCACTGACTTACAGCAACAACATGCACGTGGATGGTGGAAGACAATTCACATACACAAAAGCCCATTGTGTAATGGTCAGTTTGAATTAGTTTTTACTCACTACCTTCCAGTTCTGCATGAGACAGGTTCTTCCATTTGGTTCTGCAGCTCTGTCCTGTATGCATGTATCCGTGCATTGCAGACCATCAGATTTTTAACCGCTTGCAAAAGCTGGTCTTTCTGTGTGCTCACTGTAAGCAGTTTACGGATGCCTTCCCGTATGCGGATTTCAAAGTTCATCTTTTCTTGGATGCTGTGTTCCTAGATACGCAAAACAACAAAGACTACACGTGAATCCAAGTGACTGTACCCTGACTTTTTAAGGAGTCCTATTTATTATACAGTTGGGATCCAAAGCCCTAGTTAAATTATATGCAGTCATTACAGTTATTACTTAATACAAAACAATTCTCTCTTTATACGCAGAAGAGAATATTATCAAACTGATTTGATATATACATTATGCAAGCAGGTTTCAAACCACGTGCTAACAAGTAGTTCACCACAGCTTCTGAAAGTTACTAAAAAACTATGTGGTCCAGTGTGTCCTTTACGGGGTGACAGTATATGGTCCTCCCATATGGTCACTGTGAGGCTTAACTGAACAAAGCTTACAGAATAACTTTTTTTTTTCAGTGATTTCAAGTAAAATAATCCTAACACTCAGGAATATCATCAATAATTTATTTCAAAATATCTGAGATATTCTACATCTGAAATTTCGTCTTATTACTTCTTTGGCTACCTTGAAAAGCATTGAAAAACATGATTTTTCACTTCTGGTTGACATATGATTTGGGTAACGACTAGATGTGAACAAAAGGAGAAGATCCCAAAGTTTGATTGCCTCAGGTTGTGATCTGGAGATCAGATGGTGCTTGTGTCATGCTGAAGTTAGAACTATGTCTTGCCTGATGGCACAGTCATGCACCCAACGATTATTCATTCCAAAGTATGATTTGTCCATCAGTCACTGCATCAGTTTTTCTGAAGGAGTATTTTTAATGTATTATAAGAACATCTGGGAAATCAACTTCTTCCTGATTCATGAAATGTTTATAAGTTTACATTATTCTTCACTTGCCATTTCAAACAGCTCTATCCATACTGACACAGAAGGTGAAGGGCCATTGATTGCTTGCTGCCTCCAAAGGCATGCTAGATACCACGCGGTAACTGTTTCCTCATGATGTGCCCTGACCAAGCACAGTATTTATGGCACATAAAAAACAACACGTTATCAAAGTACTACTGAGCTTGCAAACACATTGCAGATCAGTGATGAGGTTTTTTTGACACTGGGAAGTTGTCTCAGCTACCTCCAGAATTGAAAGCATCACCTATTTTCAGCCACATAGTGCTTATACATTTGCAGTAAAAACAAGTGCTCTGGGGACAGATCTATAAGCAACTGCCTGAAATTGGTACAATAATTTGAATTTGCAAGTTCAGTATTCCAGCTGGTAGAAAAGTACTGGCAACTGGCTCTAACCAGAACAGAAATAGAAGGGAATTAATTTCCCAACAACTCAAGTACCAGAGAAATCCACAACCCATGAAAGGGGTGAGGCAGATTTTCTACTTGATTGGGACTTGCTGTCATTAGCTGCCTTTGACATGAGAAAGCAACCCTTTATAGCAGTCACAAGCAGCAGGTGGAAGCTCACTGCACAGCCACCAGCCATTCCCTCCTGTCTTTGCAGGAATGGCTTTTATTGCTTTTGAAGGCCTGATGCCATCATCTAAAGAGACTTAATGTTTCAGCTGTTCTTCCATCTGCTCACAGAACATTTCTCTTTGCAAACCACCCCCATTTGTCAACCCTAAAGGAAAAGCAGCTCTGGTCCATAAGCCACATTCAGCACAGCACAGCCCAAACTGTTAATGCTCTATATTTCTAGCCACTTCAGAACCCTTCTGCAGTCTAGGCCTCTTGTTCTATTTACCAACCCTTCTGCTAGAGACAGCAGCTTCATTCTTGTTGTATGGCACTTGGTCCCATTTCAGAGGCTTCTTCTCCCACATCTCAACACAGCAAGTCACTACGCCTACATATATAAGCATGGTTTCCCATTTTCCTCAAGTAACAAAGGAAGTGTTTGTTTTTGTTTTTGCCCTGAGATGCTAAAGATCTCAGGCTTATGTAATTCAGCAGAAGCAGGACAAATATATGTTCCACTGAATTTTTTCATGCTTAAGACAACTAAGAGGCATGCTGAGAACACAACGATGACCAAGACACCACCACAAGACACAACACTATAGAAGAGTAAAGGACTCTCCATCTCTGCCCCCAGGAGAAACACTTGGGACGTGCATAGGTTACCTCAGCCTAGGCCCTCCAGCACCAGTGGGCTATTCAGTGGCGAATGCCTTCCAAAGCTATCATCATTTTGGTGGAAGCTCTACTGGAATTCCCTACAACTGACAGAGGAAGACCTAGAAAGGCACCAGCAGACCATTCATTTTCATAGAATCATGAGCTGGAAGGAACCCTTAAAGGTCATCTAGGCCAACTCCCCTGCAATGGAACAGGAACACCTACAGCTCCATCAGGTTGCTCAGAGCCTGGTCCAGTCTGATCTTGAATATCTCGAGGGATGGGGCATCCACCACCTGTGCATGCACCTCCTCCCTTATCATAAAAAAATTTTTCCTTAAATCCAATGTAAATCTCCCCTCCTTTAGTTTGAAACTATTCCCCCTTGTCCTATCACAACATACCCTGCTAAAGGGTCTGTCCTCTTCTTTCTTATGGCCCCCTGTTAGCTACTGAAAGGCTGCTCTCAAGTCTCCTCACAGCCTTGTCTTCTGCAGGCTGCACAGCCCCAGCTCTCTCAGCCTGTCCTCCTAGGGATGGTGTTCCATCCCTTGTATGATTTTTGTGGCCCTCCTCTAGGCGCACTCCAACATGTTCATGTCTCTCCAGTACTGAGGACTCAGTACTAGGCCCCATCTGGAGTACAGTGTCCAGCTCTAGAGCCCCCCAGTACAAGAAAGACAGGGAACTGTCGGAGAGGGTCCAGAGGAGAGCCGCTAAGATGATCAGAGGACTGGAGCACCTCCCCTATGAA